ATACTCAATACTTACTCAATACTCAATACTTACTCAATACTCAATACTTACTCAATACTCAATACTTACTCAATACTCAATACTTACTCAATACTTACTACTTACTCAGTGTTTGCAGCTAACACTTATTAATCCTCTTAATCAATTAATCTATTACTCAATTACTCAATTAATCTATTACTCAATTGCTCAATTGATCAATACTAATAACACTGCCTTACTCCATATGTAATCTAATTCAATACTTCATACTTGATATCTACACAATAAACACATTCAGTACTTAATACCTACCAGTACTTAATACTACTTGATACCTACCAGTATTTAATCAACCCTCTCATAATCAACCCTCTCATAATCAATACTTAGTCAATACTTAATCAATACGTACTTAATCAATACGTACTTAATCAACCCACTCATAATCAATACTTAATCAACACTCACTACTTACTCAATAGTTAACACTTAATAGTTAACACTTAATAGTTAACACTTACTCAATACTTACTCAATACTTACTCAATACTTACTCAATACTTACTCAATACTCAATACTTACTCAATACTCAATACTTACTCAATACTCAATAGTTAATACTCAATAGTTAATGCGCACATGCGGGCCGCCGCTTACATAAGCAACAACGGCTGAAACAGGCTTTTTTCCTGTCAAAGAAGCTTATTTCTAAAAGAACGTTTGGGACCCTTTTCCTTCACGGTAGCTATGTCGATCAAGGATAACCAGCTGAGTCCTGCGGAACAACATGTTGGAGAGCGGGCTGACGTCAGCAACGACAGCAACGACAGCAACGCCAGCAACGCCAGTAACGATTACGAGGCCCAGCAGACCAATGAGGAATTGGTGGAAGACGAGATTCATACCGACTCGGAAGATGAAGATGAGTTTATCAGGAAGTACGGGGATATCAATTTCCAGTATATTAAGAGACCCAGGGATGCCGTTTGGTTCATTAGACCACACGCCCTTAATTACTTCAAGGATGGGGTGTTGTATAGAACCAAGGGGGAAAGAGGAGCTGCTAAGACGGAATTATTTTTGGATTTGATGTACGTTGGTATTATTGCCAACTTGGCAGGAAATGCATCCGAAACCGCCAGTGGAGCTTCGTTGCTTAAGTATATATTATTTTTCATTCCCATGTGGGTTGTGTGGGCAGATATCAAGGATTTCACCAATTATTATTATAATGAAGATTTGTCGCAGAAATTGTATATTCTTTGGATATTGGCTTTATTAACGCTATATGTTAATAGTAATGAGAAGATCTTGGACGGTGCGCTGGGAGCAGCGTTGCTGGTTGTTCCCTATATATTGTGTCGGATCTCGTTAATGATTGCTTTATTGATTTATTCGATATATGTTCCACAGCATCGGGTTCAACAAAGACTTTATTCGGTGTCGTTATTCATCACTTGTTGTTTATGGATAATCGTGATATTCGTAGGGAAATGGGCTAAAGTCGGGGTTTCCATTGCAATCATGGTTTTAGAACAAATTTTCTTTGTTGTTGCGTTCCACCCTAGAACCAAAAAGTTTATGAAATTAACCATGTCAACCGCTCTCAATATCGAGCATGAGGTTGAAAGATTCTCAACGTTTGTCACCATTGCCATTGGTGAATTCTTATATAAAATCGTGGCTCTGAATCCGCTAGGCCCTGGTTTAAGTTACAAATTCGGTAGAGGGGTTTTCTTATTAATCATTGCCTATATCTTATTTTGGCTTTACAATAGTGGATCCACCTCCAAAACCGCCACCCATCCTTTAAGAAATAACGGGTGGACCGCAATGGGGTGGATCTATAGTCATATCCCCCTAATTGCCAGTTTGGTGTTGTCGGCCGACGCCGGAGGTGAACTATTGGCGAGAGAATCGATCTACGGAGAAGCTGAAGAAGGGGAAGCCGATTTGTATGCCTTGTCCCTCTTCTTCACCGGTGGTGTTTGTGTTTCGATGATTATGATTGGGATCCTTGGTTTATTAGATAAAAGCCGTGATCCTCCAGATTTACACATCATCCCAAAGTTCTGGAGAGTCATTGGCAGAATCCCCATCGGTATCATCATCTTATGCTTGAGTTTTGCCAAAATGAATATTACCCTAATGATGGGTATGACTAGTATGTTGTTGTTTATTGTATTGGTATACGAAAGTATCGTATCGGTTCCTAAACAGTGTTTGTTTACTCCTAGAAATAACCCACCTAATTGATCTTCTTCTTGCTCCTCTCCTGCCTTAATGTTTTGATAATCTATTCTTTTTCATATAACTGTAGTTCTGGCAAATGTTGCAAAAAACAAAAGAAGCCAAAAAAATCTCCAAAAAAAAATCTCCAAAAAAAAATCAAAAAAAAAAAAATCAAATTGTTAGTAAATCTACGGGCTCAATTTAACTACCTTGACGAGATACCCCCGTGTAACAGATCCCTTCTCTTGCAGACTAGGGATTAGACTACTGATTATGTCTCGTGATAAGTATTTAGTAAATAAAAAAAAGTAACTACGCCTCTCGTAGAGCAAGACACTGAGAATAAAGTGAGTGCATGTCACAAAAATCATCATGAATTTCAGGTAAATAAAAGAAGTATTAGCAATGAAATTTTCATTTCGCTTTGAAGGGGAAAAAAATCGTATACTTTTCTTCTTTCTAGTAATCATTAAAGTAGAATATTCATCGAATCTAGGAGAAAGATGGCTTCTAATGTATGTACAATTGGGTTCAATTGGGCTCAATTGAGTTCAATTGAGGTTGAGTGATTGAATTGAGAATTTTTTGATAATTGGAATTGGTACTAACTATTTTTTTTTAGCCCGATGAAATAATTTTACCTCCAGAGCAGGTTGAAATTGACCAAAAGGCTCCAATTGAAGAGGATGAACTTAAGAAAAGAGCAGCCAAGATCTCCTCTACTCCAACTGGTTCAACTAGCCATTTAGCCAGAGAGTCCACCCATACATCCTCCATCAACCCCATTGAAGGAAAGGGGAAGAACTTGACCACTACTACTGAAGGTACCAAAGTAACTAGTGTTGATTGGACTATTAGTGAAGATTTGGACCTTTCGAATATCACCACCAAACCACCACCAAGACCTTCGGTGGAGCCAACATATCGTGGTTGGAAAGAAGTTGGTGGTTGGGAAGAAAAAGATGCTTTAACTTTAGAAGATGAAACTGTGGATTTATTAACTCATCCTTCGATCTTTGATACTTATTTGCCTCCTGCAGCTTATGGAGATTGGTTTCATAATGTAGGTTATATCATTGTTAGTGGGGCATTATCTTGGTTTTTCGGTTGGTTAAGATTTTCTTTGGCTCCAGTTTTTTTCATTATGGTTGTTTTTGCTATTTTATATCGTGCTTCTATTAGACGTTATAGAACTTTATTACGTGAACAAGCACAAAGAGAATTTTCAATCAAATCAATTGAAGATGATTATGAAACTATGGATTGGTGTAATGTTTTTTTGGAAAAATTCTGGCATTATTTAGAACCTTCTGTTTCTCAAATTGTTTGTGAAATTGCTAATCCAATCTTGGCTTCTTCTCCAGCTCCTGCTTTCGTTAAGCAATTATGGTTGGATTCTTTCACTGCTGGTACTAAACCTCCAAGAATTGATACTGTTAAAACAATTGGTGGTACCGCCGATGATATTGTGGTTATGGATTGGGGATTTTCTTTTACTCCAAATGCTTTGGCTGATTCCAATAATAAACAAATGAAAAATAACGTTAATCAAAAAGTCATTGTTAAAGCTAATGTCTTTGGTTTCCCTGTTTCAGTCGCTGTTTCAGATGTTGCTTTCAAGGGTTTGGCTAGAATTAGATTAAGAATGATGAGTGCTTTCCCCCATATTCAAACAGTAAACGTCACTTTATTAGAACCTCCTCAATTTGATTTTAATTCAAAAATTTTGGGTGACACCATTTTTAATTGGGAAGTTTTGGCTTTCCCCGGTTTATATCCTTTTATTAATGAAATGATTAAGAAATATGTTGGTTCTTTATTATTCAATCCGTTATCTTTCCAATTAAATTTACAACAAATCATGGCTGGTCATCCTTTTGGTTCTGCTGTTGGTGTCTTGGAAATTAATATTAAAAATGGTTCTAAAATTGCTAATTTCGCTACTCGTGGTAATACAATGGACCCTTACTTAACTATTGGTTTTAGAAAAGATGTTTTAGCTAAAACAAAACATAAGAAAAATACTACCAGTCCAAATTGGAATGAAACCTTGTATATCCCAGTTACTTCTTTATCAGAACCTTTGAATATTTCTCTTTGGGATTATAATAGTAAAAGAAAAGATCGTTTATCTGGTTCTATTCAATTCGACTTAGAAGTTATGATTAAAGAACCAAAACAAACTAATTTATCTCAATCTTTCATCAGAAATAATAAACCAGTTGGTGATTTGAATTTTGATTTGAACTTTATGCCAACTATTGAAGCTGAAAGACAACCAGATGGGGCTATTATTCCTCCACCAGAATTAAATACTGGTATTGCAAGATTGGAATTGATTGGTGCTAGAAACTTGAAACCTGATAAAGCTGGTAAGCCAGTCAGCGCTTTTGCTGAAGTTTACTTTGATAATGAAGAGTTACTCACTACTTCTGCCGTTAAAGGTGATACACCAGCTTGGGGTGTTTCAAAAGAAAAGATTGTTAATAATCGTGCTAAAGCCAAAGTTAGAATATATATTAAAAATAAGGATGATGATCGTATCATTGGTAAAATTACTTCCACTTTCAATGAATTAGTTGATGCTACTCAAGTTGATGAAACTTGGTTCCCATTACCTCGTGGTGGTGAAATTCAAATTCATGCTTCTTGGAAACCAGTTGCTATGGTTGGAGCAGAAGGTGCTGGTGGTTACACTCCCCCAATTGGTGTTGTCCGTGTTAGTGTTGAAAGAGCTGAAGATTTACGTAACTTGGAAACAATTGGTAAGGTTGATCCATATGCTCGTGTATTAATCAATGGTTTCCAAAGAGCCCGTACTGCTGCTATTGAATCCAACTTAAACCCAACTTGGAATGAAGTTCATTACGCTGTTATTTCATCACCAAATCAAAAATTAACTTTGGAAGTTATGGATGTGGAAGCCCACTCCCCTGATAGAACACTTGGTTCGTTCGATGTTAAATTGAATGATATTATCAGTAAAAACGAACGTGGTCAATATATTGAGTATACTGATCCTGAAAAGAGAGAAGGTAAATTAATTCACAAGAAAGGACCAAAAGGTACTTTAACTTATTCACTTTCATTTTATCCATGCTTACCAGTAATGACGTTAGAAGATATTAAAGAAGAAGAAGAAGAACGCCAACGTTATGAAAAGGAAAAAGCTGCCAAGGCTGCTAAAGAAAAAGCTGAAAAAGAAAAAACCGATGCTGAAACAACTGGTGAAGCAAGTAAACCAAATGCTGAAGCACCACCTCCATCTGAACAACTCATTAAAAATGAAAAGAAAGGTACTGAGATTGATAAAGACGCTGCTAAAGCTAAGGAGGATGATGTTGAAGGAGAAGATGATGACGAAGATGAACATGGCTCTTCTAAATTGAAATTGTCTTTAGATGAATTACTTGAATATAAGAGTGGTGTTGTAATTTACGAATTAATCGAAGCTGACTTATCAAAAGATGGTGTTTACTTACAAGCATTCTTTGATAATCATGGTCATTCCGATTACGTTACTCAAAAATTGAAAGGCAAAAAGACAAAGATTGGTGTTACTGGTGATGCTGTTGTCAAAGAATTAGAATGGTCCAAAGCCTGTTTCAGAATTACTAAAAATAAAGATGATAATCGTGCTGAAAAAGTTATTGCTGAAACTACTATTCCAACTTTACAATTATTAAAGAATGGATACCATAACCCAACCACCATTGAATTAAATGGTGCTCTGGATGCTACTTTTAAAGTCCGTTGTTCATATGTTCCAGTCATTTATGAACACGAAGTCCCACCTCAAGATTCCGTCAATAATTCTGGTATTTTAACTGCCGAAGTTGTCAGAGCTGAAGGCTTATTAAGTGCTGATAGAAATGGTAAATCAGATCCTTACGTTGAATTGTATTTGAATACTGATAAAGAACCATTTTTCAAGACTAAAAAAGTTAAGAGAACTTTGGAACCAACTTATAATGAAACTTGCACTACTGAAGTTTCAAATCGTTACGACTCTGTGGTGAAAGTTGTTGTTATGGATTGGGATATTGGTCCAGAAAAAGACGATTTATTAGGTATTGGTTACATCAAACTTGCTGACATTCCATATACCGGTGAAACCATTGAAACTTCTTGTGCTTTGGAAGCTGAAGATGGTGGCGACGGTGGTGTTACCTACGTTAACTTTTCCTTCAAACCAGAATTCGTTTTGAATGTCAGACCTGAGTCTAGTACCAACATTGGTGATGCATTCGGTACCGTTGGTAAAGGTGTCGGTGGTATTGGTAAAGGTGTCGGAAAAGGTGTTGGTGGTGTCGGTAAAGGTGTCGGAAAAGGTGTAGGAGGTGTCGGTAAAGTTTTCAAGAAAGGTTTACATTTAGGTAAATCAGATGATTAGTATTAACGTCCGTTATCTGTTTTTGAATTTCATATCTTTTGTTACTGTGTTTCCTTTTTTTTGTTACTGTGTATTTTTCTACAAACTGTTTTACTAAATATTATTTAACTCTTTCATCTATTCAATAATCCATGTAAATGAATGACTCGATCTCGGTATAAGGTCATCACCATCTTATTGTAGATCGATGCCCCTGGTGTACGGGATTGTTCAAACGTTCACCTACATAAAGCAACAAATATGTGCAGTACTTTAAGAGTAGATGAAATTTACTAAGAAAATTGCTTCAAAAGGCCAATGGGAATTGTTATATTCAATTAAGTTACTTAATTAAAGAAATTGTCCTTATAACTCTTCATTTTAACTGAAAAGGAAAACAGTTTTAAAGGGTTGTTTATAGCTAATTCGCAATTAGTACTGGTAAAAAGATCTCGAAATACAATGTCTGATAAACCTACTCCTCCAAAGCTTCCTGAAGGTTGGATTGCCCAATGGGACGAGGAATACAAATGTTACTTTTATGTTAACACCCAAACTGGTCAATCTCAATGGGAGGTCCCTACAGAGCCTGTTGGTGCAAACGCAACTGGTGCTTCTGGTTCATCGGCCGAGTTTTACAACAGTTCTCCCCAATCTCAACAGCAATACGTTCCTCCTCAAGAAACGCAACAGGGTGAGGGTTCTGGTGATCGAGGTTTGGTTGGCAGTTTGGTAAGTGCTGGAATGAGCTCTGGCGGTGGTGGTGGATATGGAGGGGGCTACGGTGGAAGTGGTGGTGGTCTGTCTGGTGGTGCTGGTTTAGTTGGTTCTTTGATTAAACATGCCATCAAAGGTAAATCACATGGCTCTTCTGGCTATGGAGGCTCCTCTGGTTTCGGAGGTATGGGAGGCTCCTCTGGTTTAGGAGGTTTAGGAGGTTTAGGAGGATCTGGTTACAGCAGACCTTCTGGACGCCCTAGTATGGGTGGTGGAATGGGTGGTGGAATGGGTGGTGGAATGGGTGGTGGAATGGGTGCTCTCGGTGGCATGGCTCTAGGAAGCATGATGGGCCTGGGTGGTGGTCACCATGGAGGTGGTCACCATGGAGGTGGACATCATGGAGGTGGAAACTATTCCGGTGGCTTTGGTAACGATTTTATGGGTGGCGGAGGTCGCCACCACCACGGTGGCGGAGGTGGTTTTAGTGACTTTGGCGGAAGTGGTTTTGGTGACTTTGGCGGAGGTCATAGTGGACATCATGGGGGCCATCACGGACACCATGGTGGAGGCGGACGTTGGTGATGTTTCCACCATTATGCATTTTTCTATTTCATTTCCTCTTTCTTCTTTGGTTTGTAATTTAAATTCAGTTACTCAATACAAATTCGTGGAGTATAGCTTAGGTGATATAGCTCATGTAATTTGGGGTTCATTATCATCACGTATTGTAGGATTGCAAAACGTTTTTGTATAATTGCAAAAACAAAGTTTTGCAATGAGGTGTACGGGCTCCGTGGAATTGCACACTAGAAAAATCAAGTAACCTTCTTAGAACCATATTTTTATAAACTTTTCCTGTTAGAACCCTTATTTTAACAAATATCACTAGTGTGATAGACTTATTGAAGATTCCTTTGAAAGGAAGCCACCCAGAGTATTTGAATAACTTAAGAGTTTTTTCTCAAAAAAAGTCATAATAGCTGCTGGAAAGAAGTTTGAGTTTTAGTCATCTTCATAAACAGGTTCCCTCGAATGGGCAAAAATAATCTAGTACACAAATGTCTATACCATGCCTTCGACTTCCAGATTAAAGATAAAAGGGCCGAAGCAAAACGGCCTTAAAGTATGTTACTCAAATGATTTTTACGTTACAAATGGACAAACATTTCCTTCATTTAATGTTTCGATACGGCTATCCCCAAAAATACTAAATGAAATGGAAAAGTCTAGTGAAGCCAAAGAGCCAGTTCTGGTTCAAGAGAACAAAAAAGTTTATTTATCACCCCCCTCTCCTCCAAATTCCCAACAAAAGGACCAAAATTCGATCTCCATCACTAAGAAATCAAATTCTGCAACCCCAACGCCATTAGGGTCTGTTGACTATGATAAACTATTGAAGAAAAGAAGTAATTCCAAGTCTTTTCATAACGGAGACAACATTCATATTGAGACGAACCTAGTTCATGATGCAAAACCCAAACCTGAAGAAACCACTGATAAGGAGGCTCTTAATAATACAGCCTCTTCAAATGATCGGTCTACATCGGAGAGTGAATTGGCATCTTTCAATAAAGAGCTAGATCAAGCTCTTCTTACTGATGACACCACCTTCTCACCAGAATTACAAGATGAAAAACAGAAGCTACCGGAAAATTCAAATGCTTCTGCTGATGAGGATATAATAGTTGTTGATAGCGATTCAGATTATGAGGCCAAAGAATCTGAAAAATCCGAGTCTGAATCTGAATCTGAACCTCAGCTGGCAAGTTCATCACAACCTCGAATAAAAAATAAACTCCCAGAACTGTCCGACGACGAAGATGACGTTATTATTGATCCTATAACACCCTTACCACCGCAAGATCTATCTTTCCTAGATAAGGTTTCGTTCGGAAATCGGACAAGAACGCAATTAGCCGGAAAATCAAATGAAGGAAAGCTTTTTCCAGGAATACCGTCTACTTTGCCACAACCCAAGAGAAATGAATTGACACAAGAATTAAAAGAACAAGGTTATAGAAAAATTCCTCTCACTTACGCAACTGTCATGAGAAGAGAATTAAGTTTATTCACCGATTTGAACAGTGAAGAGGATATGATTGAAAAAGTAATTTTTTCATTGAAAGATCCTTACTCAGGAGCTAAAGTTAAATTACCAATCAAAGCAACGAGCTGCAAACATTTCGAATGTTTTGACTTTGAATCTTTTTGTAAAATTAATATAGGTAAAATATCTTTCAATCAAAGATATCACTTAAAACAAGAACTCATAAATAAAAATCACGAAGCAAGGAGGTTAGAAAGGTTGTTTCAAGAACAACATAAGAAACAAACTGGGAACCAATTACCAAGAATCCAAATTGCTCAAAAAGGGAAAATTCCAATTTATACTTATCCACAATACTCGGAACACGGTCAAATATTTCATTTTGCGTTATATCATAAAACTCCACCTCTTTTCAAATGTCCAATATGTGATGAATTATTTGGCATCAAACAATTGTATATAAGTGATGTATTTAACTACTTTGTTAAAGGAACACCAAAGGATGTCGATCGAATAGAATTATTGGATATGGATTGTTATAGGATTATAGACGGTGAAGGTTCTTCAAATAAGAGAGCAAAGGAAGAACTTATAGAATTAACTGACGAAGATCTGGATGATGAGCCACTAACTAAAAAAGCGAAAGTCGAACCAAGATCAGAATCAGCAGATGATTTTAATGACGGACTTGATAGTATGTTTATGAAGTTGAATGACAAAGATTCTGGTAGGGGCAGTTGGGATGATCCTGTCACTCTAGATTGATGTTTTTTCTACGAATTTTCATATTTGACATACAGATGATGTATATTATAATGATAAATTAATGATTTTAATAAACAATTTGAACATATTAATAAAGAAAATAGACATTGACGATTAAAATAAATAAGACATTAAGATAAGTAGAATAAATAAGATGTCAATGCTGAAAATAATGATTAATTTGAATAAATAAAAATGAAAAAACAAATCGTTATAATTAACGAATGTACTATGTGAGGATGAGCATCATTTGATCGATTCGAACTCTTCTGGCTTTCTTAAACCATTTTTGATAAGTGAGTTAACTCGTACGTCCTCACCATATTTGACTAGATAGACAGCACAGAGGAAACCTATCCATAGTAAAGCAGCACTATATGTACAAGTCCACCCAACACCAATTTTGTTGATACTTTTCAAGCAAACGGCAGAGGCCAAGGCAGCCGCCAAATATCTCGTAAAGTAACTACTACCAATTGCATCACCAGCTAATTCAGGCATTGAATCCACACAATAAGTGTTACTTGCTGGGAAGATGTTTGTTTGAGCCAAACCACTGATAAACATAAAGATTATTGGTACCGCCATTCCACCCTTTTCTTTCTCAACTGACCAACCATATATCAAAATACTAACTGGGTAAATAAATCCCAAAGGAATATAGGTTTGACGTAGTCTATCTTCAGGAACTCTTCTACCTCTTTTCTTTTGATATTTTCTAACAACATAATCAGCCCATTTACCACCAAATAAACTGCCGACTAAGTAGCCTAACCCAGGAGCCAAGTAGAATAAACCACTATAGACTGGTTTTGTTAAGTTAAACCTTGGATCCATCACGTATCTGATTGGAGTTAGCAAAGAATACATATTGAAAACCAAAGATATAGTGATATAACCATCAATGACTAAAGTTGGATACTTTAAAGCCTTAATGATTCTGAATGGGTTTATTGGAACTAGGACAAATTTCTTTTTTGGGTTTGTCTTTTTAGCTTCTTTTAAAATCTTTGAATGTCTGGTTTCAACGGAAGTCTCTTCTAGAAGAACAATTGCCATTACGCAAACCAAAAAACCAATACCAGCTAAAGCCCAGAATATAACTCTCCAACTAGTATAATTAACAATGATACCACCGATTACTGCACCAAAAGCGGTACCTAATTGAGCTCCACATATAATGTAAGACATACAAGCACCTCTTTCACGAGGGATGTATAAATCAGCGACCACATGAGCACCCACACTAAAGAAAGAAGTACCAAATATGGCAGTCAAAGCTCTAAAAATGAAGAACATTGCTAAATTTACCGAAACAGCCACCAAGATAGTTGATACCGAAAACATGAAAGAACAAACAATGAAAGTGATTTTTCTTCCATAGATATCAGAGATTGGAGAAAATATACAAGGAGAAATCGACATGAATATGCAATAGACTGCACTTGAAATATTAATAACTTCACCAGAGGTATTAAATCTTGAAGCGATTTCTGGAACGGCTGGTAAAAATGACAAACCAGATAATGGCGACAAGAAGCACGATAATGAAGCAACCGCAACATATAACTTTTTCTTACTAGCTGGGAAACGATTGAATTTTGGATCATCGGAAATACTATTAACTTTTTCAATCTCTGCTGGTTCCAGATCAGGTATTGGATTCTGCACTTGTTGTTCAAGATCAGTGTCTTTAGACCTTCTGGATTGAATCCTGGATATTTGTCTCGAAACTGCATCCTCTGTTACCCCAGATAGGTCTAATGGTACAGCATCGTAATGATCAGCATGAAAATGAGCTTCATTTGAAGTATCGGAGTTTAGACTCGAGTCAGAAGTATGATTCAGGGCTGTTTCCTTTGTCATACCCTGCAAATTATTGAATCTTACTTAGCATAGAAAATAAGATTGCAAGAAGGAATTGAAAATAGTAGGGCTGAAACCCATCTATATATACTTGCAATCTCGGAGACCGCGTCCGGCATTGGCCGTAAATTTCCGTCATCATCTCGATATATTTGACGTTTTTCCACCACGAAAGACGGATCCACACTGTGGGCTCCTGGGTGACATTACCTGGGCTAGCTGGGGAACCCAGCCTAGAGCCTTTATCAAAGACGATGAAGACGGACACCCAAAGAACGTCTTCCACCAACCAGGTTGTTGGCTAGGATTGCCAAAAACGGACCAGCAGCCATTGCGGAGTAGGAAAAAACAGTTGGTTAGCCTGGAAAAATCGTGTCACCAAACAATTTCTGGAATTAGCCAAAACCTGCTGAAAATGTTTCCTTGTAATCTTGAGCGTATTCCGAGAATCTTTTGTTAGTGATATGTATAGTAAAAAATGGATCATCGTTGAGTTATACCAGAAAAGGGAGAACACACTGAACTCCGACGCAATTATGACAAGAGGGGAACAGTTTAGCCACACAAAACTTTGGTCCCATACAATACGGCGAGCAAAATTGTGCATCTAACGAACTACAATACTGCTGGTTTCTTGCACCAGTATACGTGGAGCATGAACCAGTCGGTATAAGGTATTATGGGTAATTACAGAAGGATGAAGAGTGCAAATTATTTTCAAGCTGGAGATTTGCAACCTGCAAAAGCCTCGCTATCTAATCTGCAAAGAGGTTTGGGGAGGTTTTTCGCAGTTTAATGGATTACAGGTTAGGTTTTGCACTTGATAAGTAAGCCATTGGGCTAATATGCATTAAGAACTAATATACAAGAGAAATCAGATGTTGTAACCAACTAGATTATTAAATTTCGGCAGATGAGCGAAGTGACCCAAGTTTTGGGTGAGTTGTTCAAGGTTAATGGAGCTGGTATCGACATCCTTCAAGCTGAGGGAATTGACGGTGTTGGATAAATGAATATCGAGAGGTTTACTTATATGACTCAAGTTTAATTGATATAAGTTGTTTTCATTGGAGTACGAAACCAAAGGGTTTTTGGATAATGATAAGATGCGTAAATTGTTGGGTAAATGAAGATGGTTATTAAAATCCACAAAATCGTTGTAAGATAAGTCAAGGTACTCAAGATCCTGCAAGAGTTGAATATTGGAATTCTCTAAGGAGGATAATTTATTTTGGGATAAGTTCAATTTAGCCAAGTGTGGAGGGAATTGTAAAGAGTGGGTATTCGTTAATGAATTTTGAGTTAAGTTTAAATTTTTTAAATCCAAAGGTAACTGAATGTACGATTTGTTAAAGTAATCGTCTGAAATTTCAACTTTAGCTGAAGATTCATTCAAAAAATGAACATTACCAATTTCATTAGTATATTGAGATAATTTTATAGACAAGTCCTTTAACTCATTTGGCAAGTTGAAATTGACTCTACTTTGACAGTCATTCAAAATATAAGTGAAGCTAAGCAAATTCTTCAAAACAACATTTGCTTCATCAACAAAGAAACTATTCTCCAATTCGAGTTTCAAAAGAGGTAAATTCAGTATATCATTCAAACTCAACTTACTATTCCTTATGGTTAAGGATTTAATTGATGGTGGTAACTTCAATTGGTTTAACTGGGTTGTGCGGTGGCTCGATATGGTTAATGCAGTTAAATGGTTGAATCGAGTGAAATCAACGTCATCCACGTTACCAACAACCAACTCTTCAATATTTTTACATTGGAGGGACGACAATGAGTAGTCATTAGGTAAAGATTTGATCAGGAGCCTTTTCAAGTTTGCAGGAATCAATTTTAATGACTTGATCTGGCAATCGCCAATTTCCAAAGTATTCACGCTTGGAAGTTTTGTATTGAACAAGGAGTAGTCGAAATCCACGTTGTTTATGCCTAAAGTTCTCAAGTTACTAAAGACTTCATTAGCTGTTATCAAGAAGTTTTGATAATTGGTATGGCCATTTATGGTGAAAGCTTTAATATTATCGAAATTGGAGTAACATTCATTAGCATTGATGATATTAGTGGCGGATTTGTTATTAATCTTGATGTTTTGACATTTTTTCAATAAGTTTGGATATAATTTGTATAATGGGAATAAATTCCAAATTGACTCCACCTCTAAAGTATCGGGATTCAAGAAATCTTCATAATTAGAAGCAAATTTCAAAAATGATAAAATCGAGTTAAACTTGATATATTTACCATCGTTAAACTGGAAAGTTGAATCTGCTTCTAATTCAAAATCATCTTCTTCAGCATCAGTTTCTTCACTAACACTAGCCAGAATTAATATGTTCTTGAAAAAAATATTGAAGATGTAGGGTCTCAATTGTACGTCATTATAGTACAATTGCAAATCACTCAATGGTAAGTGACTCAATGACTCAATTAACAATTCTGTTGGTAACCCATTCATTTTGGTATATTAGCAATACATTCAAAATTGCAGTCTTCCGCTGATGAAAATTTTTGATATATATAAGCTGATTAGAAAAAGAATCGATGATCCGCCTCTTGCAATCATTTCTTTTTCTGGGGTAACCTTCGGTAGAATTATTGGTACAGGCACTCCCCGGCACCACTACTGAAAACAAAAAGAAAAGAGAGATAGTTTTTTTTTCTCCCGATAAGCGTGAGGTGCACGGGTGCATTGCCAGTTGGAACCGATGACCAAAAGAACCAGAAGTCAAGCAAACCGTATTTTGATGCAAGAACTTATAGGAGACGGCCGGGGTGAAAGGAGCTGCTCCCTGCAAAGCCTATTGTGGTAGATTTTCGGGAGGGCAAGACCTAAAGGTGATTTTGCAACCAAGGATAATCACACAAACTATAAGAGACCATCACCTTTTGTCTTGAGATGCATTCTCCTGTGTGACACACTTATATTCGTGTCGCCTATATGTAGACTAGATAATTTATGTCACTTTGACAATTTGGCCAGGTTCGTATTAAGTTGTCTGAATCCTATAAAGGTTCACTGTACGAGGGACTCTCTACTGGGCCTAGTTCTTTCAGGTTTATCTATACGCGCACGTGACCCACCACCGAAACCGACGTGGTGGTTTCGAGCCGTACACCAGGTTCTTTTGACTTACATAATCAGCATTTTATTTTATTTTTTTTTTTTTTTGGTCTTTGTAAAAAAAAATACAAACGTTTTATTACTCATTGGGAGCTCACGTAACGGTTGGGCTTTTTGATACTTTCGCCTCTTCCCGCAATAGCGGAATTATCATCTGATGTAGATCAGATTAAATTAGAGTAGTAACCTGAAACCCATAGTGCTGTACGAAAATGATTTAACGAAGCTACATACATCATTTAAAGGATCAAAAATAAACATTTAACATCATTTAAAGGATCAAAAATAAACATTTAACATCATTTAATAAGCATTTAATGAAACATAAAATAACTAGTTAGCAAAAATCTCGCCTAATAACCGATTATTCTGCGCATCACTTCCCTTTTAAGGTTATTACAATAGAGACGGGCGGAATTAATATTATTATTAATTTTAAAGTTTAAAAAAATAATTGTTTTTGAATTACATAAATGAAATTTTGCACAATTCTTGTACATATTTTTAACTAATTATTCGTAGTTAACGAAAAAGAAAGTAAGGTAATAAAAAAGAATTATTGAAAAAAATAAAAAAAAGATCAAAAAAAAAAAAGAAAAAAATAATGAGATTAAGATAAAAAAATAAACACACGAAGTACCTTACCTGGAAATCTTGTCGTAAACGTTTCATCAAGATTTAATTAAAACCAATTTTTGTGTTTTAATTCCAAAGAAGGTGTTTTTTCTCTTTTAAGCATATGTGTTATGAAATGAATAACCCCGAAAGGATCAGTTTTTTATTATTTCTATCCTTCCTGTGACAGCCCTTATTCAAACCTGGCTTCGTCACTGGAACCAAATGTATGGTTAGAGTAAAATAATGCTAGCCTAATTTTGCCAACAATTTTATCGCTTAAAAAATATCCTCAACTCATTTTAAGTTTAAGGGTAAAGGAATTTCAACACCCCTTCCTACATGGGGGGAATTAATTGTTTTACCCAATTTATTGATGAATCGGCTAATGATTCCCTGCATTATATTACCAAGATTGATTTTGCTAAATCCTTATCCTGCTTATTCTCTTGTACGGAATAACTCGTTTCGGCCACAAATTTCATAAGCTAGCTTCGCTGACTAACCCATACTTTTACCCATTTGAACATTTAGCAGGATGAAAAAGCATCTAGTGCAGCTCCCCGAATGCTTCAATACAAGAGATGCAGATTTTAATAAATTATTTTCTAAGTTATTTTCTATTATTTGTTTTTTCTATTCACTTTATTATTTTTCGACTTAGTTACCTGCTGGATCACTTGCTTTTTGGGGGAGTTGGTGGATTGCGTTGGGGGGCCGATCGATCTGAACGGCGCGAAGATGCGAGCACACCACGCATATCCGAGGGGGTCGGTTGTGCGTGGGCGGCCGGTCTGTTCTTTCCGCATGTATGTCGCAGCATGCAAGTATGTCCATCTATTCTCTTACTTGGATTAGGTTTTTGTACATGAAAATTGTTTTTTACAATTTTTTTTTGTTTTTTTTTTTGACTTTGTTATTTTTGTAATAAAAGCGAAACAANTTCTCCTTCCGAAAAAAAAAAAGAAAATTTTTTTGTTTTATTAAAAAAAAAATTTGTTTGGTAAATCTAAAAAGGCTAAAAATCACCCAAATTTCCTATCACAGAATGTGGAATTTATATAAGTACAAATAAATTTCTCTCTAAAATCGGATCTGGTAAACAGAGTTAATAGTGTACTCTAAATTTATACACTATTAGAATGACTCAGCTACCGTCAGTTTCGGAATTAATTGTGGGTACTTCCTTAAGTGATAATAGGCTAAAACCATCCAAATCAACTGAAAATATACCTCGTGTCTCAAGTACTCATTCATTAGGATTTAATTCAAGGAAAAATTCGATAAATGATAATCCAATTTATAGACCTTCGCTTCCAATAAGAAGATTAACCGAACCATCGATTAACTTTAATCCAATATCTTCAAGCAGAAACCATTCAATAACTTCATTAAATGATAAATATTCCTCTCAACAAAATTCTCCCCAATCAAACCCAGCTGGTACTGGGTTTGTAAATTCAAATTATAATATAAATTATTCAAATGAGCCATCTCCAACTAATCAATTAGGTTTCAATATTCCACCTCCTCCACCTCCTTCAATACAACATCATGCACATAATGCACATCATGCACATATGCAAATGCCTCCTTTACCGAACATGTCTGCTCCCCCTCCTCCTCCACCACCCCATCACCAACCACAACCTCACCAACAGCCTCATCAACCTCATCAACCTCATCAACCACATCAACCTTATTATACTTATCCGGTGTACGATCCATACGGAATGATGTTACAACAACCATTTAATCCACAATATAATATGGCTCCAATTAACCCATACGAAGCCAATAATGCTTTAATCAATAAAAGAAGAATCATCAAGAGAAGAACAAGAACAGGATGTCTTACTTGTCGTAAAAGAAGAATCAAGTGTGATGAACGTAAACCACATTGCTTTAATTGTGAACGTAGTAAGAAATTATGTCTTGGATATGAAAATTTGAATTCAAAATTTGGTCCAAGTAATTTGAATTCAAAATTTAATAAAAGTGAAGATAATTTAAAGAAAAATGAACGTAAAATGTCAGTTTACGATATGATTGGTTGATTTATTTGGATATGGGGCATTTTTGGCATTGGGTTTCATTTCTTGATTTGTATTTTATATCATTCTATTTTATATTTTCTACAATAATACAAGGTAATATAATATTAATTTGTTAATTTTTGTAATCTAAATAATTCATATTTTTGTAATTCAGTAATTTCTTTAAAATCTTGTAAATGACTTGTTAAAATTATTGTTTTCAATAACTTGAAATCTCCATAATTTGAATCAACTTTTCCCCATTTATAATTTCTTCCCCCTGATACTATTCCAAAAGGTATTTTTTTTTGTAAATTAACTAATTCATAATCTGAATCTTCGAAAAAATCAATAAAATTGAATGTTTTCATATTTTCTAATTGATTTACAATTGTTTCATGAGTTAATTTAAATTCTTCCCGTGTTAAACAATCAACCTTATTTAAAACTGGGATTAAATTAACTCGTTCACCAATTTTTTCAATTACTTTAATATCTAATTCACTCAATTTACAATCAATAAAGTATAAGCAAAGATGAATTCTGGAATCATTTTTTGGTATTACCCGATTGATTTTGGTTTCTTCATCCAAGATTGCTTGAAACTTATTTTCAATAAATTGATTAATCTGACTGATTTGTTCTTTATTATTTAATTCATTACCAAAATTTGAAGTAATTGATATATTCAACTTGATGGGAACGGAATTTTCGATAATTTCTTTACTGACGCTAACTATACTTAATTTTTCCTGCTTATTCTCCTCAAAGGCTAATTCTTCCTCACATAAACTACTGATAAACAGTTTTTTACCGACTCCATTCTTACCAATCAATAATAAGTTGAAGTTAATTCCTCGTTTATTAACTTTAAGCAGTTTTAGCTGTTCTGGAACAAACTATAAAAAGATTAGTATAAGGCATTTCCGTTTCACCATTGCGAAAGGCGTTTCTTTACATTAGCGTGGTTTCGTACATACTTTAGACATTCTGCTTACCGTAAGGACGATGGAAGTAGGTTTTAAAGTTGACAAATGCAAATTGGCTGCCAATTTTTTACAAATGCAGCCATATCTTCGAAACTGGGGTGTACGGGTCTCATCTACACCCTGGCGGACTAACAAAATTGACAAAATTGACAAAATTTAAAAAAACGCAAAAACGCAAAAACGCAAAAAAAAAAAAAAAAAAAATCTCGAGGTGTACCGATTTACCACTATATAAGGCATGACTGAAATGCCAAAATAAAGTTTAATAAAGAAAGTTAATCGGTTATAACCCGTATATAACCAATGATGATTGTGAAAGCTTAAACATTTAGAATTAAACAATTGAGAACGAAAATCCCTGAAATGCTTGTTATCATTTTAGCTTTATTTATCATGGTTATGATTGAGCGCTTTCCACAAGATTCTTCTTTAAATCCAACGCATAATCTAAAGGTAATAACTATTCAACAAACCGGATCTCATTGAGTTGTTCTTGTGAAATTTGTTCGGCTACTATATTTTTTTCGTTTAATTGTCAGTCAAGTATTACCGGCCAATTAATTAAACTTAACTCTACTTACGGAATTTCAATATATTAAAATCTAAAGAAATAATTATTCCCATACTAACCTTAATTTCTTTTCAATTTTTGTAAATCAGAAAGTATTTTCTTAATAGGTAAATCTTTTTTTTACCTTTCGTTTAATTGTTGCTATCAACTAAAACCACCCAACCGAATTCTCGGAATTCAACTTCTACTTGGTAACCATCTCATGTCGGTATTGAGATTACTAATACTCCTTCTATCTACTTATTGTTTAATAGCCTAGTCAAGGGGTACCCATGTTAATTTTACCGATTCCTTAAATAAGGATCCTAAAACTTAAAACAATACGTTTGTATCACTGGCAATTACTCCCTTTTGGCCCAAAATAATACAATTAGCTCCTCGTGAATTCTTTCACTTTTTCTTGATGACGTTGTGCCCTTTTGTTTTATGAGCAGTTTCTAGCGAAGGTACGGAGGTGAACCCAGCGCTGCAACCGTACACCACTAATAAAAACAACAAAAAAACACCCACACCCACACGTACGTCTACAGGGAGCTTCACGCACATGCACATGCACTTGACCCGGTATGCGGGTTGTATAAACAATACGTCACGTAAATGCGGGTTTCTTTTGCGGATATATGTCAGGTGGTCTAAGCCTGAGTTGGGTCTGTGGATACGCTACTGATCTTTGTTGTATCTGTTAAGATTGTTGTAGTGGTTGTATTTTTCATTGTATTTTTGTTGTATTTTGTTGTATCTTTGTAGTATTTTTGTAGTATATTTGTTGTGTCTTCATTATATATGTATTCTTATATGTAAGAGTAGAGCACGGTATACGAATTTTTTGCTGGCTAGTTTTTTGGTTTGGGTTTTTTGGTTTTCGGTTTTTTGGTTTTCGGTTTTTTGGTTTTTTGTTCGTTTTTTTTTTTTTTTCTTTTGTTTTTTTTGTTTGATTCAGTTCGCTTAGAATTTCTTCTGATAGGGGTCTTTTAAGTAAACTTACTTTATTCCGTACTTGATTTTTATTGAATTTCAATTATAAATAGAAGATATACAATGGCAAAGCTAATTTTTATTCATTTCTTCAATCGAGTAGTCGAGAATAAAACTATTTTCAATCAATTGGTCGATTCTATTATAGTGTCTTTCATTGTAAGGAATGATCGATTCAATCACTTTGATTAACCCGGGTATTTCAGGATTGATGTCATTGATTAATAACCTTAAAATTTTTTGACTAATTTCAAAAAATTTGAAATTTACATTCCAATCTCTAATTTTTTTGAATAAAATCATGATTTGTTCATCGTTTAATGATTTAATTGTATTTTCTAATTTGAAAGACCCAATTATTGATTCTTGATCGATATTCATTGAGATTGATGATTTTAAAACATTATATAATCTCATTGAATGATTTAATGTTAATGCTAATAAAAATGCTTCAGACCAATCTTGATTATTGATTAAGTTACTTAATTTCTGCTCTTGTTCAATCTTAACTTTATCGTGTTGTTCTTGGGCAATTCTAAGCTCTTCACTATTATCTTTCCAAAAATTAATTTGACCATCAGCATCAGCACTGATGAAATTTTCTCCATCTTGTTTGATATCAAGTGCCCATATTCTATTAACATGATTATCAAATGTAATACATTCTCCTTCTTCTTTAATTGACCATAATTTAATTAATCCGTCTGCTCCACTTGATATAACTTGTTGATTTTTATTTAAAAATTTACTTCTTTGAACTGAATTAGTATGTCCTTCAAATGTTTTTAAACATTGATAATTTTTCAATGACCATAATTTAATCGTTTTATCACCACTAGAGGTAACAATAAGTTGATCATATTTACAAAAATTGATATCCCATAACCCTCTTTTATGTCCTTTCAAAACTCCAATGGTTTCTCCCAGTTCAATATCCCATATCTTACCTAATTTATCATATGATGCAGTAGCTAAAAATTCATTATTTGGTGATATATCAATTGAATTAATATCTTTATCATGAGCTCTTCTAGTATAAATTGAAGTCTTGATTAAACTATTTGATTCGTCTGGTATTTTCCATTTTTTAATGGTTAAATCATTCGAACCAGTTATTAAAAATTTAGGCTTCGTATCTTCTTCCTTTGATAAACAAACTGCTGTCACCGATCCAACATGTCCTTGGAAAATTGCATAGGTTTCAAAATTTTCAGTTTCTGCATTAAAATGCCAAAGTCTTGCTTCATTGTCTTTACTTGCGGTTACAATCCATTTACCATCATTTGATACATCTAATGCATTCAATAAATCTGTATGACCTTCACATATTTGTAATTCATATTTTTTTTCGGGATTTATTATTCTCAATGCTGGTGAATTGGTAGCCATTGCAACCATATCAAAGTTAGGTCCAACATATCTAATATCTGCAATTGTACCATGGTTACCAGCAATTCTTTTACTAATTGGTATTTCAAAAATTTCTTCTTCGGTGATGATTTCATTCAAATTAAGTTCAACTAATGTTTGATCGCTTATTATCAACATAAGCTTATTTTCAATCAATTTGATGACGTCAAGTATAACCAATTCTTCAGTGGTCTTTAATGGCTTGGTTGAAGTACCAATCAACTGTCCACTTTCGAAATTCCATATCTTTAAATAATTATCACTACCAGCAGTATAAAGAACCGTTTGATCATATAGTTTCAAAAATCCACAGTTTTCAACTTGGTGACGTACTGAATACGTTTTCCATACTTTTTTCAAATTGTCTTGTTTATAAATTAATAAAATTTCATCTCTTCCCCCACTTATAAAAAAATCTTCATTAAAATCTAATCCTCTGACGGCACTAGTATGTTCTGTACTACTTGCTATAGCTTTTCTCTTCACTAAATCCCATATTTTACTAGTCCCCATAATATCACCACTACCCAATCTCCAATTAGCAGTATTTAACTCTCCATAAAACTTTAATGAACACACGGTGGTGTTGTGTCCCTTCAAAGAATGGGTAACATACCCATTTTCAATGTCCCAGACCGTTATAACCCCTTCAGTACCCCCAAATGCAAATAATGATGATGTAGAATCACAAGTTGAAATATAAACCGGTGATGGTAATTTGAAAGTCTTGGTGATTTCGCCTTGATCCAAATCAAATATACGTAATTGCTGTGATTGTGACAAAATAGCCAATTTGGTTGCGTCTGGGGTTATACTCAAACTAGTAACCAATTCCCCGTCTCCTTCGATCTTATGTATGATTTCACTAGTACGAAGATTGGTGATAATAACGTCTTCTTCTAACGGTGTGGCCAAAATCTCTCCATTTTCACTCACAGTAGCTGGTGTTGACCCAACATAGAATGGCTCCACTTCAGTACTAATATAACTACTCTTCAAGCTATCCATTCCGTGTTTCCTTGGTCTAATTCAAATGTCTTTGGTGCTTATACTTTTTTTTTTCATAAAGGCATCTCATCACTTTTTTTTTTTTTTTCAAATTTGTATGGCGAGGTAGTGTGCGCACCCGATATCTGACCCATATAAAGTATATTGATACTATAAACTGTTTTCTATTTATGTTCTAGCTCAAGACCCAAGGATCTTGCCGTGTTGTTCATGTAGTGCTCTATGTAATCTTCTATACCTTCGCCTTTTCCACCATAGCGGTCGCCGTATAGAATTTGTTTTATGCGGAAGAAGTAAAAGACCAAATTACTGGTGAATAGAACGAGTTTTAGTTTGATTAAGTTCCACGATTCCAAGGATTTACTCCAAAAGATCAAATTCGAGTTAGTTGTATTCTTGAGCAAAGAATTTGTTGCCTCGATTGTTAATACGTTGATTCTGTTAACGGGACTACCAAATGTTTGATTGAGGTTTTGAATCATTCTCATAGTACGGGAAAGGAAAAGTAGTTCGAGGGGAAACTTTCTTTCATCACTTAGAAAGTTGAATAATAGATCATTGGCGTTTCTTCTGTCATTCATTTTGTTGAAGTCTGGGCTTGTTGTTGGTTTTAATTGAATCATGGTTGCAAACAAGTCTATTGAGTTGATCCCCCATTTGGTACCAACTTCTTTAATTCCATTTCTATTCAACTCAAACAAGTATCTCCAAAGCTGAGCGTACTCGATCTTGAATTTCTCAGGTAGTTTGATGTATAAGCCATGGTCCAATATAACTAATTGTTGCTTGCCATTAACATATCTAACTAATAAATTCCCAGGATGAGGATCAGAATGAACAAATCCATATTCAAAAATCTGTTTGCCGAAGAGTTTGAGGTACTGGTTCATTATAGCACCAAGACTAAAGCCTAGGTCGATCAATTTTTGCTTATCTGTTAATGAAACTCCATTAATCCACTCACTGATCAAAACTTGTTTAGTAGACAATTCCTGATAATTCTTGGGGATGTATATGTTTCTCAATCCACTATCACTATCGATTAAAGCTCTTAATCCTTCGGCATTTTGCAATTCATGCTCGAAATCGGTTTCTTTCATCAACTGGTCCGATATGTACCTTGTGAAAAAGGTGAAGGGAATTCCAAAAGCAGCTTCATATATCTTACTTATCAAGCGGTAAACTGCCAAGTCCACCACAATCTGTTTGTCGATATAATCATGCTGAATCTTAACTGCAACGTCGTCGCCACCATTTTTTAATCTTGCCTGATGAACTTGCGCAATCGATGCACTGGCAAATGGCTTATGATCAATGTATTCAAACACTTCCCCTTCATAATCTTCACCCAAGTTTTTTTTCAACATCTTATCAATACTCTCCCATTCGTCATTTGCTGCATCGTCATATAACTTAACAAAGTTTCTTTGAAACGCAATTGGGAACACCGACCCCTGATTGGCAATGGCTTGTCCCAACTTGATATATATTCCTTTATTCTTCATCAAAATCTTAAGTAACTCATCTGCTGCATATTGATGTAGAGATTCAGTACTATCGAAACTGCTTTTACCATAACTATAATAATAAGCAATCTTCAGGAATCCATACACGGCCCTAATCGATCGCTGCAACAACGACAGATACCAGATCTCATCAACAGCGTATACCCCGGCTCCAATCAACCCTGGTACCACCACATATTTGACAAGCTTCAGCCTTTTTGGACCCCTTGGCTGTTCAATACCACTAGTTGCAAAAGAACGGGCCCTGGGCGTCGGATTCCCGTTCAAACGTAGGCTTTTTCTCCAAACAGCTCCCAACTTTAGCATTCTGTTCTTCTTTAGTTGTATCGTTGGTCTTTCCCTATCTAACCAGCCATTCAATCACCTTCCAGATCCTTTCAAGCTTATCGATTAGTAATTAGTGTGAGAGCTAAAAAAAATGCCAAAAAAAATCAGAGGGCGAACCAATTATCATTAAAAAAAAAAAAACATCAATGGATCCGAGGAATCACACTACTAGTACTTACCAATTGACTAAGATACAAGGTATAAGATGATTTCTGTTGTTTCCCGTCAAGCTTTGAGAGTTGCATCCGCACGTTCTTACTCCACCGGGCCAGCTCCAGGTGCTAGAAAAGTCGGTGCTTTGAAAGGAGGATTTTTAGGATTTCTCTTTGGGGTTACTTTAACTGGTGCAGCTTCATATTACTACTTGTTAGATGAGTATAAATTGGCTAATAATGTGGTTGTTGCTGATGTTATTGCATTACAATCCTCGATCTCGAATTTGGAAAAGCATGTTAAGGCTTTAGAACAATCTAAGAAATAAGTGAAACGAGCATAATTAGTTTAATATACGTTTTTTATGATTTAAATCAGATTGTAGTATTGATGCAATGTATATTTACAGGGTATTCTATTTATATATGAATGCTTACATTTCTTTAATGAACATGATTGAATCATTCAACAAGTTGTTGAAATCATCTTTGTTTAAATCATTCAGGAAGTCACCTACAAAGTTGACTTCAACTTTGCGGCCACCTAATCCACCACCTTCGACAATGTTGAATTCAACCAACCGGTTGTTACTGTAGTTGAACTCTAGTTTCCTTCTATAAGCAACGTTGACGTAATGGTATCTGACCATGGTACCGTTGATGGAAACATCCATATAGGATTCAATTGAGTTAGTAACTCGGCCACTGAAATCTAATTTTGATTTTTCTAAGAATCTAATGATTCCGGGTTGATTTTTGAATCTTGAGTTTCTCTTTGTAGTTTCATTTAAAATATCATCCAAATCGTCGTTCGATGATTCAGAAGTCTCCGGGCATTCATCTTGGTGTAAAACGTTACCTGATAAGTGACATGAAACTTTCAAATCAGAGGTTTCATTAGGCAAAGCAATATAGGTGTTATTTTCACCTTCAGCAGTCATGATTTGCATTGTATCTATATCAGGAACAGAGTTTTGGTTTAATTCACACCAAATCTCAATTGGAGGATACTTTGTTTGCTTTGAAAGGTCATTATTGATGTTAGAATCATTGGAGAGTTCTTCCATAAAGGGAGTGGGGACAAATTTTAATTGAACTGAATAATTATGGGGGTCTTCATTGATGAAATGAGCAAGATCTTGCTTTGACAAACTAGGGTAGTTATACAAGGGCAAAGTTAATAATTTATCATTGGCCAAAGGGATATTTGAATTGAAGATGAAATTACTTTCTTGGTTCAAATCAGTTGGAGTTACCGTGGGTGGGATGGGTTGAGATTCGTTGTTCTTCGGTTTATTGAATAAGATATTACCTAAAGTAACCGTCATGATTGGAGTGATGAGTTGATTTTTAGGTAATCCAATAGGATTTGCTTGGTAACTGAAGTCGGTTAATTGATTATATAGGTTATCTCTTGTGCTTTGGTCTAATACATTCGATACATTGAAATCAGCTTTTCCCGAAGTTTCTGATCTTTGATTTTCCGGTTCTGCAACTTTTGCTTCTGGAGTTTTAGCAGTTTCATTCATATCATCAGATCCGATTCCTAAAGATTTTAATAACCCCCAACTTTCGTCTTCTAAGATACGATCTGCGCTAATTAAGCTTTTCGGTAAAGACTTAGCATTATCAAAATCCAATTTTAAATCATCATAATCCACATTAGCACTTGATAACATATTACTATTAGAAAATTTATCTAAATTATTCAATAACTGAGCGTTTGGGATTTGATTAGAAGATTTCAATCTATATAAAGATTTCGAACGATCATTCCATTGTAGGACGTCATCATCTTTATAGGGAAGTAAGTGAAAATCTGATAAAGATTCGGGTAATAATAAGTTATTGGAAGTATGTAAGTTATAGTTCAACAACCAAAGAAGTAATCGTTTCATTCTTTTCAACTGATTTTTATTCAAAGCCACCAATTCATATTTATCTTGAGATAAATGGTGGAAGAAAACTTCGGTATTTTCACCGATTTCCTTAATGGAAAATTCTCCAAATTTTTCAATGAACAATTTTTTTAAAGAACTCAAATCGATTGTTTCATGATTTGCTTTTGATTTATAATGACTTAAATTGATTTTAGCATTTTCCACTTGACGGTCAGTCCCAATAAAGGATAGTGATTTAGTTAATGGATCAAATTTTATTTTATAAACTGCCCCAGATAATTGTTTAATAATTATCCCATTTTGAGTTAATAATAAGAATAAATCTAAATTTGATAATTCAACTGATTCTTTAATTAATAGGTCATCTAGTGGTGATAATTCTTCATTAACTTTAACTGACCATATCTGATCAATTATAAATTTACTTAATGATTTTTTATTTAATTTACTTATTTTGGTCTTTTTTTCTTTTGAATTCCAATTCATTTTGATGTAGTCTAATAATTGTGGACGATTAAAAGAGCTTAGCAAAGTATCGATTATAAGCAAATGTCTGGATTTGCTTATTTGATCATTTGCAGGTCTTAATCGACTGATATCATTTATATATGGTTTATCATCATCGATTCTTAAGTCTTCAGTAGTTATATCAAATTTCGGTGGCTTACTTGGTATTATTTCTGGTTTGGCTCGTAACTTAAGACTATCGAGATGCCTCATATACCTTTTATCGACTGTTTGGTTTGGATCTAGTATAAGAATCTGATCATTTAGTTCTTTTTTGGAACCATTATTCCTGGATGGTAATTTAGAAGTATCTCTTAGTTCATCGAGAATTACATCCGGGATCTTTGTTTGTCTCGTGGCAGTACTCGAAAAGGATTTGACCAACCTCCTTCGTATAACACCTCTCAGAACTAACCACATCTTTGCTTTCAAGATGGAACCTTTTATGGTTGATCATTTTTCAATTTTTTCATTATAGGTGATGAAGAAGGTAGGTGCACGGGTGTTCATATATAAATAAACCTCCGTGCATCGAATTTGAATTGGTTTTTGCACGATTAAATATTTTTGCGTGTCCATACCGATGGATATACACCCGTGCACCGGTGTCTAAAACCATACGATCAACTGATTAATCAACGTACGATATACTCCCAGGATAAGGAAGTAGCGACTCGCCTGGTCTAACCTGGCGGTCTCCTACCCTCTCGCTGTCTGGTTTTGTCGCTTTGTCTTTACTTTCTCTATCTCCTCTATCTGGCACCACTTTTGCCTTTACATCCTTTACATATTTGTTTTTGCCCACACTCTATATCTTTGTCTACACCTTTATACCACCCCACAATTGCTTCAAAGGCATTCTATGTATTGTGGATACAGTTATTGGCTGATTAGAATCACAAATGGATGAAAATTGGCGGCTGGTGTACGGATGTTGAGTTGTTATTTTCGCGGTCAATGTCCGTTTTTGTGCATTCGCCGTTTGTTGCCGTTTTGCAACAATTCGCTTAAGACCCCCGGGGGCGGGAGGTGGTGTACCGGTGCGTTCTCCAAGGGTAGTGGTAAACGGGTGCGAAATGCGGGTGTGTCGCTAAGGTTTACCCTGACGTCCTATCGGACTCCATCTCAGACTCCATCGGACAGGCTACTCCATCGATATTGAAAGTATTGGATAACCGATCTTGTAGTTTATAAATAAATGGAGATTCGCCAGTAAGTTTATAGAAAATGGAAGAAGAGTGTAAGAGACCAATGTCTTTAGTTAATAGATCTAGTTTACGTGGGATTAGAGCCACCAGCTTGGTTCGTATTAGTCCATTCAGTACTAGTCGTTTGGTAAGACAATTTCATGATACTACTAATAAACAAAGTACAACTACTGTAAATAATGTTAAATTAACACCAACTCCACCATCGATTCAATCGAATTCACTTTCAGTTAAAGCTCAAACTGAATATTTGAAAACTTTTGATTATAAAGAATTAATTTCATTTTTCATTATTGGGTTAGCAACTTTAAATAAACCAATTCTTAATTTATGTATTAAAGCATTCCCATATGTCCCAATTTCGGTTATTAAAGCTTTGGTTTATAGAATCTATTGCGGTGGTGAAACTATTAATGAAGTTCAAGAAACTGGTGAAAAATTAAGTAAAAGAGGTATCAATAATATGATGATTTCTTTAACCATTGAAGCTTGTAATGGTAACGATAATATTGATCCAGAATATATTGCCAGAGAAACTTCTAAATCAGTTGAAAATATCTTAATTCCTCATACTGTTAAAATGATTGAAGAATCTGGTAAATCAATTAATGATATCCCTGCTGGTTATGTTGCTTTAAAACCAACTGGTTTTGCTAAAGATGCAGTTAGTGCTTTAAAATATTTCAAATCTGATCCAGTTCAAGCCGAAAAATTTAATGATTTAGTTGCAAAATCAGCTTCTGTTATTCAAACCATTTATGATGCTAATAAATCATTAGCTGAAAAATATCCAGAAAGAGTAGCTCCATTTGTTGTTGGGGTTATTGATGCTGAAAAATTCGAATTACAAGAAGGGGTTTATGAATTACAAAGAAGATTATATCAACAATTTAATAAATTAAATGAACCAGTTACCGTGGTTGGTACTTTACAAATGTACTTATCAGGTTCTGCTGATTTATTAGCTTTAGAAGAACAATTGGCTCAAAAAAATAATTATAGATTGGGTTTGAAATTAGTTAGAGGTGCTTATATCCATTCAGAAAAAGATCGTGCTACCGTTATTCATAAAACTAAAGAAGATACCGATAATAATTATAACAAAGGTATTTCTTACTGTATTGATAATATCTTAAATAAAAAGGATTCAACCATTGGTCACTTAGTGGTTGCCTCTCATAATGGTGATTCCTTGAAATTAGCAAGTGAAAGATTATATAACGAATTGACTATTTCAAATCCAGAAAAAAATAACGTTTGTTTAGGTCAATTATTAGGTATGGCTGATTCAATCACTTATGATTTAATTAAATCTTTAAATATCAATAACGTTATTAAATATGTTCCTTGGGGTCCTCCTTTGGAAACTAAAGAATACTTATTAAGAAGATTAGAAGAAAATGGGGATGCCGTTAAAAATGATAATGGTTGGCCCTTAGTTAAAGCTTCTGCTTCAGTCTTATTTAAAAGATTATTCGGTTTAGCTTAATTCTATATTTCTCTTTCATTTCTACCTTTTGCATTGCATGCATATGCATATCATGATTATTCTTACGATTGTTAATATATAATATTTATCTCAATTAAATATTGTAGTCATTTATATCTATTTACAAGAAAGTTTTAAGTACTTCTTGGGTTCCCATATATATTGACTGATCACACATTGAACTACCCATTCCCAGTCAATTATACCAATTCTCATCATATCAGGATTGTTCAACTTGAAATTCACTTCATTCTCTTCATTTCCTTCGGTCTCTCCTTCAAAATCATCATTTATATACGCTAATACGTTATCATAATTTGAATCTTTTGCAAAATTCTTCTTCATTGCTTCATAATTATTATACCAAGTCAAATTCCCAACTCCGAAGCAGTAGAATATAAATTCACACATTTCTAGTGTTGCACTATTGGTTGATTGTTTCAAAATTATTATACTATATCCTTGTAGTAAATGAACATTATTTTGTAGTTGATCAATTAAAAAATTCTTCTTCACCTCATAGTTATATCGAAATTTATAAACATCGAGACTTTTAATACTGTTTAAGTATGTTGATTGACCAGCCGGTAATAGGTAAATCGGCCAATGGCTGAATTTTAGATGATTCTTAACACAGTCATATATAAATAATCTTGATAAGATAGGCCACCCAATTGCTAGTCCTTGCAAATATTTTGCACTTCGACAATGGTTGCTAGCTATAATTGCCCCAAATTTGAATTTTTTCAAAAAATCCAGCCTTATTACCACGCTGCCTGAGTTGATTTTATAATACTGTAATATTTCATTCAAACTTTCTTCAACAATCACTCCATCATGCTTGGTAATCAAAGATTGTATTTCATCCTTCTCTTCTTCTTCAACACTGGTCAACAAGAATAAACAACCTGAAAACAAATTACTGACTTTATCAATTGTGGTATTTTTCTTTCTTGGGCTAACTCTATAACTAGTTGAACGACTTAACTTAATCGGACTTTTGGTCAACTTCCTTGTAATATCGTCTGATTTACCATTAATTTGAATCGGTAACATGTCAGGACCATCATGGATTGTTTGTAACTTACCTAGTATGTTTGAAAGAATCAAGTAGTTATCCTTTAATCGGTCCTTACCGTCAATTATAACTTGATTAAATTGTTGGTGTCTAATAAAGTCAGAAAACTCCATTATTATTTCAGATAGTGGGATAGATACTTCAGGATTCGTTTTAAGCTTACTTTTCGAAAATTTGATCAAATAAACTAGGTTGAAACCCCTCATGCACTTGATGTCATCAGCCTTGTCATTGAAACCTAACCCTGTAACAATGTATTTTACTTTCTTACCTCTTAGTTCAACTTTATCGCCAACTCGGATATCAAGCAAAAATAAATCCGTATTTTTGATATCGAATTCACCTTCATTAAATGCAACTGTCAGAAAATTGGGGTCGACACTGTCAGTGATTATACCTGGATATATTTTAAATTTATACATAGCAAACGTACTACTAATATGTTTAATCAGACTTTCCGGGATAGAATTCAGGGTTTCTTTGCGTAATATCTCTATCGGGCTTTTATTGTCTTGAGTAAGATGTGAAGGATCATTAGAACTTGGATCAACACCCGATGATTCAGCCTTTGTTGTATCATTTTGTGATTGTATAACATACTTCTGACGAGTGTTTCTTCTATTTCTTGTAATTACCATATGGTCTTCTTCGGCATCTGATCTGTGTTCTTCCAGATCTTCCATTCCTGAAGTAACATCCTGTGTCGACCCCACTTCGATTTGTATATCATTAACTGACTGACTCAAGTCAGATAATTCAGTTGATTCAAGACTTTCCTTTGTTGGTGAAGATGGAAGGACCCTAATATTCTTCTGCGAAGTTTCTTCGTCCTTTTTAGATCCATAATTTGCTGAAACATCTTCACTTGGTACATCAGCAGAGGCTTTAAGATCGAATGAGCTATCAGCCTTAGATAAAGTGGTTTTCTCAGAAAAGTCTAATCTAATATTCTTATTTTGGTTTTGTTCATTCCCGGATCTTTTCCTCTTTTTGGTCATAAGCTTATTGGTAAGCATACTATCTTCGAAAAGAAGACCGCTGTCATCATTGATCAAATCTTGATCATCATCTGATTTTATTGCAATATCTCTATCATCAGCACCTGGTATTCTTTGACTACTTGAATACACAGGCTTTGATCCCAAATCAACTTTTCTAAATGTCTCATCCATCATTTCTTCTTGCGTGTTAACGACCTGCGTTACAGATTTTGAATTCTTTTCAGTAGTATTAGGAACTTGAATTTCAATGATTTTATCGCCAGGAGAATCATAAAATGGTATACGATTATTATCGTTAGCTTTATTAGGAGTATAAGATAATTCATTATTGCTGAGTGGATTTAGGGGACTATTTGTTTGAGTGAATGAGTTTTCAAAGTTCACACGTTGCGTATCGTCGTTATGTTCTATCGTTTCAACACCATTACATTTGACTGAAGAGTTCTTTTCTCCATTCGTCATTATTTGAGTTTCTCCATCATTTTTGTAAGGTTCTCTCGTATGGGGTCTGTCATTATTTATCACTTGGGTGTCAGGCTGATTGCGTAGAGCTTGTGTATCAGGATAAATTTCGGTGAGCTGGGTTTCGGGCTGGTTTATTATTTGAGTCTCTGGTAAATAAGTTACGACGTGGCTCCTTTCTTGATCGTTAGATGTCTGGGTATTGTACTTTAGGCCAGAAATCATCTGAGTCCCTTTAGCATTCTCATTATTACTGAGAGCAGTGTTAGTTAAGTTGTCATTGATTCTTTGAGTATCTTCGAAATTCAGATTTGAATTATTTCCGGGCGAATAAGTATGAAGCTTTCTTGGAGCTGTTGTTACATCCTTGTATGGAGACCGACTAATACTTGATTGAGCTCTTCTATTATCTAAAGATTTTTGGCTAGGAACATTTAGTCGTTGAGTAAACGACCCACCGTTTACACCACCATCATCGTCTTCTAGTGTATCCCCAACTTGCTCATTGGAATTATAGTTCAAGTTATCTACCTGAGTTGGTGCTGACTTATGGTCACTCGAAGTATCTCGCTGGGTAGGTGAGAATAACATGCTTGAATCGGTCTCTAATATTGGTTTATCTGTATCTTTCACTTGCAGACTTTTTTCCCTTTTATTTAAATCTATATTGGAATCATTGGCGAACACAAGACTGTTATTCATATCCTCTCCATCAGTATCATTTTGTATTAGTAACGTAGGATCATGTTGATTGTTTGACACTGGATCATCTATATAAGTACCCAGAGTACTTGTATCTTCTGTCGACATAAATGACTCGTCACTTCGTACTTACTCTGGTTCTATGTGACTATCATTGAAGATAATTGTTTGCACAGACGTAATGATTCTGAAAAAAAAATTGTTGAAAGTGAAAAGTCCCAAAAGATCGCGTAAATTTTACAGCTTTTTAACATAGTTAAAACGGTTTAAATATTGATTATATATCGATTATACTAACAAAACAATTAAGAGTATTTAAATAAAGAAGCGGGATATAATTAAGCTTTTACATGGGTAGATAATATATGCTAAAACTTAGTAATACTTATGCGCTATTGAGATATTTGACTAATATACAGAGAAATTAATGAAATATGAATATGACTTATTCATAAGTTGGAAGATCATCGTCATCATTATCATTGTTGTTGTTGTAGTTGCTGGAAGAAGGCGTTAAGTTGTTATGCAGCTGTTGGATCAATTGAACAAGAGCTTGAGGATTATTTTGAACATGAGGGTTTTGCTTCACCAAGTTAGATAAGTACATTAGTTGGTCTGACGTCAAATTATTGGGAAGACCATTGGTTGGTACTTGTGATTGAGTTGGTTGGGATTGGTGTTCCAGGTGATTTGGCTTTCCACCACTAAGTTTAGTTAAGATGGAATCCAAACTTTGTTGTGGTGGCGGTTGATGGTGTTTATTATTGACCACAGGTGTTGCATTTCCGGAAGGAGGAGTTCTTTTAATGGCATTTGGTTGAACTGATGAATGATCCTTTTTAACAACATAAAGGCCAAACAAACCTTTTTTTCCCATTACCTTGGGAAGATTGGAAAAGACTGGATTCAAATGTGGATCATTACCATCAATTGGAATTAAATAAGCATCCTTCACGAAAGGAGGTTTATCAGATAAAACTGCCACTTTTCCATTTTCTGCTAAGTATTGGTACATTTTATCATAATCATATTGATTTTCTGCACATAAAACTTCAACTAAGAATAAATCTCTGGTGGCCACAATTTTCTGTAGATAGCTTTCAGCAGTTGATCTGCTCAATTTACCTTGAATTGTGAAAGATCTAGCGGCATATATTTCTTTTGATGTTTTCACGGATTTGTTATGACCGATAACGGAGTTTATATCAACAGGTTCTCTATAGTTTGAACAAGTGAAAAATTCAGCATTTGCTGAAAACGAAGCAAATCCAGGGAAAGTAAATCTGCCTGACCAAAGGTGATTAGGTAAAGATGGTGGGAGGTGTATTTGCGGTTTCGGTTTGGGTTTTTGTTCTTCAGCAGGAGTATTTGTAGGTTTGCCTCTGAGAATGAGATCTAAATCGTCATCACTTATACTAGAGGTATTAGAAGTATCTTTTGATTCAGCTTCGGGAGATTTTTCCTTTTTGTCTTCTGGATCATAATCATCCTCATTTTGATCATTCTCTTCATTTTCAATGTCATCATCATCGTCATCGTCATAACCAACATTGCTATAATTAACATTTTTAGATTTAGAATCAACAATATAATCAGATTCTTTGACTTGATCATCCAGAAATCTTCTATGATCGATGTTTCTGGTCATTATATTAGCATCCAAGTCGTCAACTTGTTGGTTACTAGTATCTTCAACCAATTCTTCACCTTTATGAGTTCTTCTAATTCTTTGGCCCTGGTTTTCGTCGACAGTTAAAACAGAACGACGAATTGATTCTTGTCTTACTTTATCAGCATACTTTTTCAAATCGCTATCAATTTCTTCTGGAGATAAATTAACAATATCATTGAATGAAAGGTCGTTATCAAGCAAACGTTTAATAACGTTAGGTTTTTTAATTGAAACCATCAAACTCCTACTTTTATCTGTGTATTTTTTATTACTTTGATTACCAGCCCATTCAAAAATAACCGCTTCTAAACCAAAAGACCATTTACCTGAAAGTTTCTCACTATCGAAACCTTCTGGTAAAGTGTATGATGAATCAATGTTCTTGAAAAAAACATTTTTGAAAGCTTTGACCACACTTTTTCTTGTTGAGTTCTTCAAAACAGCAACAACCTTATCATCGGAACTCTCATTTTTCCCTTTAGTAACCGGTTTCTGTAATGTAATTGACTTTGATATAGGTTTCCCTTGGCAAACATTACATTTATATTGTTTTGGAATGCTTTTAGAGTTCTTGTAACCCATACATTTAGCATGTTGCCAGGTTTTGCAACCATCGCATTCAATCATCATACCACCTTGATCATTATCTTCATCATAGTTTTCTTTGTTTGTACCACAAGGTTGGCATCTAACATCACCTTCTTCGTCAAAGTCATCATCAGCATCTTGGGCCCTGGTTTTGTCAATGTAAGCAGCATCGTCATTGGTACGTTGACGTTTGGGGACATCATCATGGTCAACATCTGCTGATCTTTTTTGAGGAATAAGTTCTTCTTCTATGTTATAGGCCTCTCTAAATGAATGTTGGCCCTTATTGGCCCTGGATGAACGTCTTGGTTCGACAGACATGTTCTATGGTTCTTTTGATACGGCTATTTGACTAAATATGAGCAGTTGAAAGTCTTCAAGGGTTATTTCTTATAACTTATGGGTTAAAGAATAGTGATCTCTATGAGAAAGCTATGAATATTCGAAAAAGAAGTATAAAATTCTTGCCTGAATGAAGTTTATTGACTTATATAGAAGTAGAGATCTTACTAAGAGCTAAAACTATTTATGCAAAGATTGATACGAAATGGAAAATCAAATTTCAACACTTATATCTCAATCTAAGCGATTATTTTAAAGAATATTCAACTTCTGGGAGACAATCTTATTCAGCTTTCCTTTTTTCAGTTTTTTTTTTTTTGTTTTTTTTTTTTTGTTTGTTTTTTCTGTTCTTTGATCTTTTTCTTTTCAAACTTCTAGAAAATCGGTCAAATCTTCAACTTTTGAATGGATCCTGGACTGAACTACAAACTCTTTTGATCGTGCCTGGATTGATTGGATTGGATAAATATGGATTATATGAAGAAAAAGAAGAAGGCAAAAAGAAGATGTGAAGTTTTTTTAGATACGCAAATTGTCTTGAAATTATTCTCCAGAAAACACGACCATTTTTAGTGAGCAGATTTTTTTACAGCCATTATCATAAATATTGAAGGAACTTTCATTACATATTGAACTTTTATTAGATGCAGAGTAGGTTACAGCTATAGAGTAGATGTGGAGCATTAAGGTGTTATACTATTAAAGAGAGGGTAGAAAAAGAAAAGAAAAAACAAAAGAAAAAAAGAGACATACCCAAAGATTAAAAGACTTGATTATAGTTAATACCATCAAGTAAAGAAAAGAAAGTATCTAGAAGGACCAGCAAACTTAGATAAGTAGTCAAGGGAGAATTAAAAAGAAACATGAAATGTGGAAAGAATAGGATATTAGAGTCCTTTTATTAAAGCCATGAGATCATTATCGTCACCGAAAACCTCTTCAACATCAGCTAAAGCATTTTCACTGAAGACCCCAGCTTTAGTTGATCTATAACCTTCCTGAAGGGCCTCAGCAACAGAGGCTCTTCTTCTTCTTTGTTTTGAAGACGAGTGATCGGATTCATTATTATTGGAAGTACTGTGATGAGAATTAGAACGATTATGAGAGTTTGAAGGTTTCCTGCTTGATTTTTTAGTTATACCATTCGAGGTTAACTTGTTATCTGAAGAGTTTTTCCTTTTATTGGTTAAAGAATATCTTCTATTATTGAAGTCATTATTTGTTTTGGAAGTATGGTTATAATTCATCGGTAAAGAATCAGGATGGATCATTGAGTTATGTAAAATTGATTTATTTCTAAATGCCCCCAATGGTACTTGTTTTTTTTGATTATTAAAATCCCTCCAAATCCTAACATCATTTTCATCATCATTATCCAACTCACTAATGTTAAGTAATTCATCTAAGCCTAATGCTGAATCATCAGTGTTATTATGAGCAATACTTTTCCTATTTTTCTGTTTAGGTTCCAAATTACGATTATTAGTATTTGAAATATTACTTAAAGTTCGAGTGGAAAGTCCATCAATAATACCAAAAGGTTTACTATCTAGAGCTACCCAAGTCCCTAAAACTGGAGGTCTGTAATCAGCGGTTTTGGAAGATAATACTTCTTTAGCCATTTTAGAGCCAAATTTGGTTTTATTGGTTGATAATGGTAATGATTCATCAACATCAGTAGATTCTCCACTATAATAATCTTCATCAGATTCAATTGCATTATTTGGAATGATCAGTTTTCTTCTACTATTACGACGTTTTTGATTATTTGGTTTAACTCCATTATCATCATTGAATATTTCATATTCATGATTATCAAATTCTTCGTCTTCATCTTCATAACCATCATCTTCACCATTAGAATTATTATCAGAACTGAAAAAATAATTCCAGAGATATGAATCATCTTCTTCATCACTATTACCATTCAATTTATGATTATTCTTCTTATTATGAATTTTGCCATTTTTATTTGCAGAAATTGCTTTTGTTTGATTATAATCATCTTGATCTAATTTATCGAAAAAAGGTGCAGAAAAATCCATTATATCAACGTATTCATCTTCTTCTTCTTCTTCTTCATCTTCAGATTCATTTGATTCGTCACTTGCATATTGAACAACTTGTTTATTGGAATTTGAATTCATATTATTGAAGGAATCAATTAAACTACGATCTCCATTCAGATAATCAATTTCAAGTTCATTATTATCATCATCAAATCCATTATTTTCAAACTCATTAACCAAAAATTTTTCTTCTTCTTTTAAAAATGGATCATTTTCATCATCATCATTTAATGATCCAACCAGATTATTTCGATTATGTTCATTTGTTGAATTTTCTATTAGTGACTGGTCATTTTCCTTATTAATTGTATCATTAAATTCCTCAAGGTCATTATCAGCTTGTAAAGTGGCTAATAATTCATTATCATCGATTTCGTAATCTTCATCAGAGTTGAACTCATCTTCCTTGAATTTAGGAACTTGAACCAAAGGGTTATCAAAGTCAAATTCAAAATTAACATCCTTATTATTGGATGCATTACCATTCAATTCATCATTGGGTAATTGAATCTCTTCACCAATATCTTCTTCAGAACTTTTATCAACTTTTGATTCCGCCATACTATCATTTTTTTCATCATCCTCTTCGCCTTCATCTTCTTCTTCTTCATCATCATCATCCACTTCATCTTCATCGTCGTCTATAGCACTATTGCCATTCTTATTAAAGTCATCAAAATCAAAGGTGAAATTAATATCCTCGGGTAATGCAACCTCTGATTTTCTTCTACCAAACTTTGGATGAGATAATGAACTACTTCTTCTATTTTTATAAGACTTAGAAGCAGTTTTACCTTGTTGGTATTCTTTCTTATGGGATTGATGTTTCTTTTTACCTTGTTGACCGGTATTTTTTTTCATACTTTTCATTGCTCTTACTGCTTTAATTGATTTTGCTTTTCGTTCGGCCTGTAACTGAACAAAATCGATATCTGAATCATCAGAAGAAGAGTAGTTATCATCTTCTTCGTTATCATCATCGTCGTCATCTTCGTCATCGTCATTTTCATCTTTATTTGAATCTGAATAATATCGAGTTTGATTCATTATATTATAAATATTACCAAGGCCAACTTCTTCATCGGCGCTTTCGTCATTATCACTAGCGAAAAACACTGAACCTTTTCTAGAAGCTTCAACGTCATCCTGTTCAGAAACAGCAGTTAAGGAAGATTCCGATTCCGATCCAGATAGTATAGCACTCGAATTATTTTGTAAGCCATTTTGATTATTTGGATAAGCCAAACTTTCAGAATCAGAAGAGCTTGAATCAACGATACTAAAACGTCTTTCTTTATTAATTTGTGGTAAAGATTTTAAATTTTTCCCACCAATCATAGGTTTCTGATTTTGATGGGATATATGTTTTGATTTATTCACCTTTCTTGGACTTTTAGCCATTTTTCAATTAAGAAAGGAGATTGCAATTTAATTAAATAGAACAAAATAACTTGTCAGATCTGGGAAATTAAAATAGTATTGAAAGGTGTGATAATTATACATAATCTAAATTGCTGATTAGCTGGTTAAACGAAATAATTTGAACGTAAACCAATGAAGTGTGTTTTATTCAAACCAAAAAGGGTAAAAACACTCTCTTACCAACTGATATCCTGGTATCTTCACCAAGTGTTTGAATGTTTATCAAAGAATAAACGAAAAGGGGGTTTTTCAACTTTTTCAAAAAACCTTATTAGAAAAAAAGCGAAAAGCAACGAGTATAATGACCGCTTTATTATATACTAAAAAAATTGTTAATCTTCAAACTCACAAGAAGATTCTCTAGAGCAGTGGCAAGTGTTGTCAGTTTACGAGTAGCAGTTGTGAAGGGTTTTAGAGAGTTACTTTGATAATCCTATTGTGGTTATCTTTTTTTCAGTTTTGAGATGAGCTAATTCTGTCTCTTCTTTTTTNTTTTTTAAGCATTTTTTTTTTTGTTTTCTATGTAAAATGGACCCAATGCCACAGAGGTTTAAAGCTTACTAGGTTTACAAGGTATAACGGATACGATTTTCTTATCTATTGAACTTATAATAGAGGATAGTATACAAGGAAGGAAGATCATCTTTTTTCAGCTTCGGCAGATAATCTTGCACTCAATTCGATTTGTTCCTTAACGGCTTTGGTTAAGTATTCAATCATAATGACGTCTTGGTTATGATTACGGAAATGGCTCTTTAAAGTTTCAACATCGGTCAAGACTTGAGGTTTGGCCAATAAGTTATTAGACAAGTGTCTCAATAACTCGATATTAGCATCACTATCATTTTTGGTGGCTCCATTATTTATGTAGGTTAATAATTGATCGATATTAGAACTAACTGATTTGATTTCCTTTGATAAATGGGTTAAGTTTTCATCATTTTCATTTTGTAAAGAAATGGTATTGTTTTGACGGATATGATTTGGATCGTTAATGAAATTTAAAGTTAATTTTTCTGAAATAGTTCCACTAACAACTTCATTTGGAATTGGAGTGAAAATATAAGAGTTAATGGTACTTTGAACTTTCCATCCGATTCTTTGTGGATTGGTGTTTGGCTTACCAACGGCAGCACCAATATAAGTGGTCAATTTTGGTATAGTTATCTTATTTGATTGATCAAGGTAATCAACATTTAAATAAATAGCTGGGAATGGATAAGCTCTATCAGCGCCTTTTGAGTAAAAATCATGAATTAATCCAGTAGTACCATCTATTTGTGCGCTACTACCAAACCATCCCAATACACTTTCTTTAGAATGGGCTTTTTTATATAATTGTAAAAAAGTCTTATGGGTATGATCATCAATAGCAATAGAATCTCCGGTTTCGTTACATGGAACCATGAATGCATCCTTAACTTCAATTATGGAGCCGTCATCGGATCTGGAGCCTAGTAAAGTCCCAATCACCCTCTTATTACTAGCCAAGGTTTGCTTGGAGACAATCTCTAAAATTTGAAATAAAGCCGATGTTTGAATCTTGACGTTGGCTGGCCCATTCGAGGAGGCTCCAGCTGGCGCAGCAACACTAGGCCTAATCAAGTGCATAAATGATGTTTCAGACATGTTCGTTTCTGCTTTTCTTTAACTCAATAGCTCAATGAATATGATCTTGTCCTTTTGCTTCTGCCAAAAAGTGATTTTTTTTCTGAAAATTTTTCAGTTTTTTTTTTTTTTTTTTTTGGAAGAAATTTTTTCCTTGGTGCACGGATGTTGTTCTATTAAAAATCAGTTCAAAAGCTTTGTCAAGATGGGAAGCAGGACTAATTTAAAGAAAAACCTGGGATATCTACACCAAGGAAAGCTGGTATAACTTAGAACCGCTGCTATTGGGAAGCTCATTATACAAGGCAATTTTTCTGAAGTTCGCAGAATGGTGGAACACACAGAAAAGGAAGATAGCAATTCCAATCTTTGGTTGTTTCTGGATGAAGCGTTTATTGAACATTCACCGTCACGGAAACAACTTATGATATCTCAGGAGTTGAAGTTGAGGGAAGGAATATACAATTTTGTTATAAGGCTAGGAACAACTTTAAAATTGAGTGGAGGAACCATATTGGCAGCTACCATATATATTAACCGATTTTATATGAGATATCCAATTACAACATCAAAATACTTTGTTGCATGTGGGGCATTGGCAATTTCTAGTAAATTGAATGATACTTATAGGCCTCCTGATAAAATTGCATTATCAGCATGTATTTTAAAGAATCCGAATAAAGTTATTGATGAACATAGTGACATTTTCTGGCAATGGCGTGATCAGCTATTATATCGAGAAGAGCTTATTTTGAAAGCTCTCAACTTCGAATTAAACGTTGAACTTCCTTACTCTTTAAAAGACCTGTTGATTGAAGCTGATGAAATAGAAACTTCTCCAGATAATGTATTTAATGAAAAATCAAAAGATATCTTGAAGATTGTGGTTTCTTCAATAGAACTTTTTTCTTCTTTACCAGTGTTGATTGCCTACAACATGAGAACTTTTTTTGGTACCATTCTTGTAATAACCATTATTGAAGCAAGACAAAGATTTCAGCTTTCTGAAAATAAAATTCTCGAACTACCTAAAAATTATTTATCCAAGTATATTGAAACAAATGCTTATGAATGCTGGGACTGCTATCAATTCATGGCTAAGCTCTTGTCTCATTGCAATCAAAAGGATGTTAGACTAGCCAGTCACCGTAATATCATCAAGAAATTCCCTTCTATTGATCGCTCAACGTTCTTTGGAATCTTAAATGATGATTCTGCTACTTAAAACCGTTCTTTGCATTGCTTCTGTCTTCATTTCTCTATTTATTTCATCCCGTCTTTTATCAAAAGTTTATATAATCCTGTATTAATATACTATCATTCATTTGTGTTTGGTTCTGCTCCAGTGAATCTTTTTTTTTTTTTTTTTTTTGCGTCTAAAAATTTGCATCCACATAAACCTTTAATATAGACATCTTGGAGGCTTTTAAAATGGACGGTAGTGACATGGGCTTAGCAAGGATGACTTCTCAAAAGTCAGCATGCGAAGGTGAATCAAAATTCGAAAGAAGATCACAAGAGTCTAGTAGCCCAGAAACTGAAAGCGACGATGAAGAACGTGATACTGATACTGATACTGACACTGACACTGAATCAGAATATGAGTCCATTCAATCTTACCCGAATCATGAATTTGAAAGAGATCTAGCAAGGCTATATCAAGAACAAGATTTCCATCAAATTTTAGTATTGGGCCGTTTCAGAAGTATTTCCTCCACCATCACAAGTGCATCTCATTTGATAATATCTTTAGCCTTATTCAACCTTGGAAGAGTTGGGGGTGCCTTGAGAGAAATAGCTTTTGCGATAGAATTGGAAGCTGATCCTATCAAAAGAGAACTGCTTCTAGTAAATTTGGCAGATTGTTTCAAGGATTTAGGAATGCCACAACTGGCCGTTGAAACTTTTGCTGAAACTTTAGAAATGGCCCAAATAGATTCAAAGAATTCGAAAGCCAATGAACTCAACGAAAGCTATCTCGATGCTCAACAAAGAATTCAAGATTATCAACAAGAAATCGAAAACCTAAATGTTAAATGTATTAAAAGGTAACTAATAACGTTTGACAATTTAAGTATTAATACTGACAAAATATCTAGTTCATCCATTGCCGAATTGGAAAATCTTTCAATACATGAACAAACTCATAAATACCTTTCGAGTGGTGGTAACATTACTGGGTTTTCTATTGGTAAATTAACAATCTCTAATAAAGCCTTGGTTGATTCTGCTTTGATGAAATTGAAAAATTATGATCAAAATACCAAGTTCGATAATGATCCAGTTCAAGAAATTTTTGATTCAATTACAAGTTTTGGTCCCTTATATATTTATGATGATTTGATAAAACATAAAACTTTAGTTATAAAATTTCTTGATGATGAACTAAATAAGCATCCCGAAATAAGTTACAGTATGTCTCCCAAACATTTAGGGAAAATGTTGAATAAATGGAGAAACCGTTCCACTAGTAAATCCCTTATATCTATCTGTGGGATAATTTTAAAACATAAGATTATATTAGGCTTTATTAATTATCTTGAAGGCAGTTTTGAAATTGCAATTGACAAATTTAAATGGATTTTGAACCTTTTTTCAATATTAGAGAATAAATACTACTACTTCATCAATAAAAATCATTACTTAGCCAATGTGACTAAAAGGGTTACTTTATTACTTTTGATAAAGAGTTACATGAACGGAGAATTTGAGTTGAAACAAAAGGATTGGGCTAAACTATTAACTAGACTTATCGCGTACGATAACATTACCAGTACCATTGAACATTTGACTGGTAGATTGACCCAATTATTTAGTTGTTGTGCTTTAATTTACGAAAAGCTAGCTACCCAAGGGTCAGTACAATTCACAATTCCTTTCGATTCTTCTTTAAGCTCAAATGATATCTCTAGGTTTCAACCAATTGGTCTGGTACAAAAATATGATAACGATCAGATGGCAGAAATGGTAAGAAAGTTGATCCTTGCAGTTGCTTCTATGGGAAGTGATGATTCAACTGATGTATACTATTATGATCGAATAATATGGGGGATCTTAATGTGTGGAGGTATTCATTTGAGAACAGTTTGGTTTTTCATCTTGATAAGAAATTTTTTTGCAATCGATCATGATTATGGGCCAATTCATATCTGCAAAACACACAAGCATCAGTTTTTCCCCAAAAGTGATATATTAGGAGAATATGTAAATGGTTGGGAATTAGTTGATGGTTTATACCGAATAGTTTCTGAATTTACTCTGGAAGAGCTTGATTCTATGTGGGATCCTGAACTAGGAAATACCTTTCTATTGCCGCAAATGTTTGAAGCGAAAAATCCAAAAAGAATTATAATGCTTGATGAATATTATAGTGAAATTCAAGAATATTCAATTACAAAGTTTAGTCAAATATCAAAATTACAAATAAGATTAAACCCAAAAAGTCATTTAAAACTTCCTAGGAAACAAACTCGAGAAAGAATTGATCTTAGTAGAGATTTAATCAACTTATGGAGTGATGCTTATAAAGCCCATCAAGGAACTTTACCAGATTTCATAAAATTAGTTAAATTTGACGCTTAAATATTTATTAATTTATTAAGTCTATATATTAATGTCTAAGACCGGTTAATGTTGAATGCAAATGAGTATGTAAATATGAAGAATTGAAATGGAGAAAAGCGTTATTGAAAATCAACACCAAAAACGGTAAGCTCTATAATAAAGGGGTTTAGATTGAAGTATCATTTTTTCTTCTTCCAATTCTTGTCTTAAAGCTTCCATATCAGTTTCTCTTCTACCGGTATCGATATCAATATCTTTAGCTTTAATTTGGAAAATCCAATTTTTCTTCCAGATCTTATGACCAAAATAAAAGAGTAATAACACCACCCCACCTAAGTAAGAAAGGAAGAAGTTATTTGCACTAGGCTTACCACCAGTAGGAAATAATGCAATCCAAAATTGAGCTATTAATACCAAGACGTTAACAAGTAAGGCATACCATGATCCAAGTACACCTGATCTAGAAGTGAACGCCAAATCTTTAAGAGATCTACCTTGAACTTTTAAAGCTCTTCTAAATCTAATATGACAATAATTAATCGTGAGCCAGGAAGCAATTGAACTTAAAGCAGAAATACTCAATAACCAATCAAAAACGACTCCTTCTTTACCGCTAGCTGCTATGAAGGCAATACATGAAAACACATTTGTTATTATTATACCAACGATTGGACGACCAGCACGATCGACATAGGAGCAAAATTTCCAACATAAACCTTGTTCAGATAAAGAGTTAAGAGTTCTTGAAGTGGCATAAACCGAAGTTGAAGCAACTGAAATACAAGAAATCAAAACGACAGCATTCATAACATGAGGTAAACCTTTGACTCCACTATTTTCGATGGCAATTACGAAAGGAGAAGCGGTAACATCAACACTAGAGGCTCCTAATAATTTATCAGAGTTTGAAGGAACCAAAAAACAAATTAAGGTTAAAGAAACCATATAAAACATTAAAATTCTCCAGAAAACTTGTTTAATTGCCCGAGGAATGGTAGTACGAATATTTTGAGCTTCAGCAGCAGCTAAACCAACTAATTCTGTACCACCGTAGGAAAAAGCAGCAGTAACAAAAACTGAAGCAACACCTTTGAACCCTGTAGCAAAGGGAGGAGGATCATGCCAATATTTAGTACCAACACTTTGACCATCAGGGCCACCACCAGCAGCCAAAATGACACTTAATATGATGAAACCAATAACAGCAATGACTTTAATTGAAGAAAAAACAAATTCTGTTTCACCATAAAATCTAACTCCAAATAAATTTATGGAAGCCACTATAATGTAAAAAATAAGGATCCAAATATCGGCATTGATAGATTTATTCCAATATTTCATAACGATCCCACAACTGACCAATTCCAATGGCGATAAAACAAGAAATTGAATGAAATAGTTATAAGCTACTGCAAAACCAACTGAAGGTTCCCAAAAACGACTAGCGTATAAATTAAACCCACCAGAAACTGGGAATTCACAAGCTAATTCCCCCAATGCTTGCATGGTACAATAAATAGCTGATCCAGTTATACCATAGGCCACTAATAATCCACCAGCGGACCCGGCATTTAATGCACTACCGGATGCAACAAATAAACCATTCCCAATACTTGAACCAATTGCGATCATAGTAATAGTTCTACTATTTAATTTTCTTTGCAAAGGCGAATTGGCAGTTCTAATGTTTGCCCTTTCAATATCAGTTAAGTTTTTCAATTTTTCATCATCTTCTTCATCAAAGGCCTCATATCTTTTGAAAGAATCTTTAAAAGATCTCCATTTCCCGGTTTTTTCTTTGGTATCATAAGGTTGGGCTGAAGACGGTATTGGCGAGCTTACCGACGTGGATACCGCACCCACCACTTCTTTTGATGACTGGACATCATCCGAGCCTTTAACAGACGTCATTTGTTGAGGTTTAAACTGGCTGTTCAAAAGAAAGATGATTGAATGAAATTTTTTTGTTACTCTTACTATCTTTTTTTTTTTTAGTGGTGCAAAGAACGACTCATCCAGGTGTTTTGCCTTACAAAAATTACACTATAGTGCCGCGAAAAGAACTAATTAGCCTTTGACTCCTGCTACTTCGATAGTATGTAGAAAGTGGTGTTCTTATCTTTAACGATTTAACGACTGGGATAATGGCTGCGATGAGATGGGGCCCGGGAGTCTTATTGTTCGCTCAGTTCAACACTCGTAGCTCGTATTTTGGTTACACAACCACCACTACAGCTACAGCTGAAATTCACAGTATAAACCCAGCTATAATCGTATCTACCACTTAGCTGTAGTTTACCACTGTGCTTGAGTCATAATTTTGCAATTCTGAAGTTGCAATTTTTCAGCTCATCACCAGTTTTTTCTTTTCTTTTTCTTTTGACAACGGCGGACTTACACCCGTGCACCGGAGAAGACATCCGTGCATCCTTAAAGACCCATGCATCTAGAATCAACCGATTGAAAAAAAGTTAGAATTACACCATTAAGACAGGTAGAACGTTAGTTGGGTACAAGCCATGGATGAAGACTCGGATATAGCAGACATCAATGACATTTTCCAGGACTTGGATACGGACTTGATTGAGATGCTCCAACGGGGCCAACAGGCGAACTTGTTTCGAGACATCCCGGTGGAAGAACACGATAACCGAATCAACCAACTCAATAGGATATTCATAAGTAGAAATAATCTACAGAGTAGATATCAAAGAAGTCCACATAGCCACGAGTACTTCTATATCTATTGGGCATTCGATAAGATACCGATACCGTGTTTGAATTTGTACTTAGGATGGATGTTTTTGAGAACGTTCGAATTGAAACAGAATTTGATAAGGATATTTAAGTTCATAACGTTTTTTATTATTAAATTTTTCCGAATGGTACCATTCATTTACTTAGCATACGCCTATTTAAAAGATCTTTTTCTACTAGTGTTTCATGTGAGTAATCTTATTACATTTTCTGATAATTTTTTAAAAGATGCCATGGCATACATGATGGTATCTAATAAGAGTTTAGTGAAAAGATTTGATACTAATGATACTGAAGTATTGTATTACATGGATGACATAACCGAGACCACCTTCAATGAAATGAGTTGGGGTTCGATCTTTAAAACTATTCTTTATAACTATGTGGTTAGATTTATAAGTATATCATGTGGCTCGTTTACTACTGAAGAAGGAGAGTTTAATTATTGTAAATTTGATAATAATACTTTAATTTTTAAATTTTCCGATTCAATACTCAAGAGTTTCCCCTTTCTCCTTCATTCAAATCAGTTCTTTTCAGATTCAGTAATCGCCAAATCTTTTTTTGCTCCATTATTAAAATTTTTCAATTTTTTAACTGCAAATGATTTCCGGCTAATTTTTTTGAAATTTTTCACCATTACAATCTACTTAAGTTTTGCCATTGGTGGTAATCTCATTGCCTTGAATGTTTTGGCCCTATATAGTCAATGGACCATCAAGACTGCCAAAATGTACTTTACTTTCTACAAAGAACTACTAAGTATAGTTTGGCAGTCTTTAAGTAATCCAATTATATAGTAATCGATACCCCGGGTATTTCTGGATAAAAATGCGAATGTGGGGGAAGACGAAGATCAGAAGCTACTACTTCTTCTTCCTTCAAACATGAAAGCAGTTGTATTTGAAGATAAGTATAAAGTATCAGTAATTGATAAACCAATTCCTGAAATCAATGACCCTAACGAAGTAGTAGTAAAAGTTAAATATCTGGGATTATGCGGATCTGACTTACATTACTATAGAGGACATATCCCCCTGGAAAAGGGACATACTATGGGTCATGAATTTATTGGAACGGTTATTAAAAAGGGAAATATAGCAAAGTTTGATATTGGTGATGAAGTTATTTCAACATTTACAATTCAATGCGGAGAATGTTGGTATTGTATACATGGATATTCTGGTATTTGCGATAAAACAAATACTTTTGGTAAGATTGCATTAGAAGGTGCCCAAGCAGAATACGTAAAAGTACCCTTTGCCAATTATACTTTGGTGAAAAAACCGTCAAATGATATTGACGATTCGGTCTACGTATTAATGTCAGACATTTTCATTACCGGATACTTTGGAGTTGATAAAATTAATAAATTTATCAAATCAGAAAACTTAGAAAAGTCGCAAATGTCAATCTTACAATTAGGTGCGGGTCCAGTTGGACTATGTGCGGTTGCAATTTTGAAAGAAATGGGGTTTGGTAATATTGTTGTTGTTGATAGTGTACCAGAAAGATTGACGTTAGCTGAAAAATATGGTGCCACTACTGTTATCAATTTTGCAGAAAATGCAAATGCATTAGGGGATTACATTGCTAAGCAAACCAATAATTTAGGATTTGATGCTGTATTAGAAATTGTAGGTGCTAAATCTGCATTGCAAACTGCATTCCAACTGTGCAGACGTAATGGGTTTATATCTTCAGTCGGGATGGGTCATGACGATTTACCCTTTAATGGTTTGGATTGTTATGCCAAAAGTATAAACATCTCTTTTGGTAGATGTCATGCCTGGTCCTTATTTAATGACGCTCTACAACTTTTTGAAAAAGTTAAATTTAGTTTGGCAGATTTAATCGAAGTCAAACCATCTATTGATGAGGCACCTGATTACTATCATAAGTTTGAAAAGCAGTTGGTTGGTAAAGTAGTGTTTGATTTATCTAAATAAATATGGTGATTTTTATTCAAAGGTGTATTTACCCGTGCACCGAAGATGGAAGATCTAAGACAATGGGTGCCTGTTGGCATGAATGTAGCACTGGGTAATAGCATCCATTTCCCAATTTTACAAGGGGCAGTCTTTTGTTCCAGGTGTAACCGAATATTCAAGGTATTGTTCAGGACTATATGTAGCACGGCAATTGGATATGAGGTTACCATTTGCAAAGCTAGTGTGAGTCTTATTTCTTTTTCCAATCATTCATAATTATAAATATGGGAGTTGATTCCATATCTTTTGATTATTTTATTTTGGAATTAGCATCTCTGATCAATAAAAGAATGTTGTTATCTAGCCTATTTTTCATTACCCTAGTTTCATTTGTTTCTTCTGCTAAAATCTTTAAAATTAGTATTATTAACCCAGGAAGCCAATTCCAAGGAAAAAGTATCGCATCAACTAAAGATTTTCAAGTCTATTTAGATATTAATGGCCAAGAAGGTGAAGAAATCGAATTCAAATTAGAGGATTCCGGATTATTATATAATACCAAGAATAATCATACTTTAACCGTTAAAAATAATTATGTCTACGAAGTTTATGATAATCCTACTGACACCCACTGGAATTTAGATTCTGATGACTTTTTAATCTATCAAGGAGAAGATTTCTATGCTTGCAAAAGTGAAGAAGACGGGGTTACTTCTTTTAAGTTGGCTACTGAATGTAACAACGGTACTTCCATCTCTTTGAAATCCTCTGACATCTCCGACATTAACTAATTTATATAACTTTGCTGTACAATAAACATTATTCATTCAACTTTATCGTAATGGTTTTGCGACCATCGCAAAAAACAAAAAGAAAAGTGCAAGGAGAGTTGCAACTGAAATTTTCCGGTGGATTTTGTTATCGGTAAAGGCATATTATCACTTAACCGAAGCTAATTACTCTGTTCTATTGTTTGTAGTCTATTGTTTAGTGGCCTCGTACTCATTTGGTTCAACAATAACTGCGTTTCACCAATACTTAACATTTTGAGGCTCCATTATCAACTCGCGCTTTTGCCTAGTCTCACCATTAGCCTGCCCAACTTTATACTAACCGTCATCGGTACTTACAACGGGGTTATGTAAACCCGGTGTTGTAACCACTCGATGATGTAAAGACAACTTAGTGATTCAAATATGAAATGAAAAAGTATCTAACTAAAAAGATTGTGTAGCGATGGCTGCTGCTATTGTCTCGCGACTGCGAACCGGTTTTTTTTACGACTAAGAAAAAAAATATTGAGATGAGCAAGACGAAAAAAGAAATGGACGACACCGGAGTCGAACCGGTGACCTTCTGCTTGCAAGGCAGACGCGCTACCAACTACGCCAGACGCCCGTTTTATAAAAAATTTTGACAGAATGGGTTTTTATTTTGTGGACTACTTAATATGCCTAGATTTTTAGGTAATTTTATGAGAATTATTTTTGAAGGAAATCTCGGTATTTATAAACAATCAGTTGTTTTCTAGTATTATCTATTTGCATAGGCTTTAAGATTTTGGTCCTACCATGCTGAAAAAAAAGTAAAAAAACAAAATAAAAATTTTCTAATTTAGTTCGAGTACCATTGATAAATGAAACAGCATGGTCAAAGTATTCATCTAGTTTTCTGTTACTTAGTTACCTTCTGAATTGTACGAAATGAACAAAGGCTACAATTTAAAGAGACTCCTCGGCTCTTATGAGTACCGATTTTTATGCGAATGGAATCTTACAACTTACTAACTTGTCGTATATAAGCGTATTGATATTTGAAGTCTGGTTCAAACTCTTTTATAGTTGGCTTATTGTTATTTAAGGCTGAGATATGCTATAAAGGTAATCGACATTCAAGTCTTGTCTAGAAAATGACATAAAAATATAACTCGATACCTGAAAATAAACTCTACAGCCTCTTTTGCAAATCCTAGGGATAAATGGGCCCCTTTCCGGTTATTGTTCATAATACGAACCTCTGAATGTTTATTATATCGAAAGTTGATTTTCAGTAAAATTGTCATTTTTCGATGAAAATCTGAAATAATGCCATGAGATATTTCGAACTTTTGTTAATTTTTGACAAAAATACGCTTTTCTTACTAAACCTTCAAAATAAAAAATTTAAAATGATCAACTTTTCACTCGTAGACTCTATGACATATGATCCGTTCAAGCTATTCTAATCAAAACTTTAGGTATCCTCAGAGTTTTGATGTCAACTTTTGACTACTTAATCTATGATAAGTACAGTGATTTTCAAAGTCAGCTCAACCAAAAAAAAAAAAAGGCAAATACCATGGGGTATCTACATTAACAAACTTTCTATCCACGTCCTTTTTATAGTTTATTACGGGCGCCCAAGCTATATTATTCACCTCATTGGGGTATATGCCGACAATTTATCTCTGAATAAAGAAGCTGTTTCTTCCAGCTTTTTCTGCTCCTTTAGTGAAAATCATTTTTCTAAGTATTGATATTATCCCAGAAAAAAAGGTATTGATAAAATGTAGCAATTGAAACCAGAAACAAAATGACTGATTGAATCCGATAAACTGGCAAAAAGCCAATATGATAAGACGCAATCTCTACTCAATAATCTCTTTTTTTGCAGCTTATTGGTTCATTGCGAAAGATCGTTTACTGATCCAGAGGTATTCATGGGCGACATCTCACGATAATAGCTATTGTCCTGATATTAATCAATCTTGACTCTTATCTTTAGCTATGTTTTCTGTAAATATGACAGTACGATAGTAAATTTTTAGGAGAAAATTAGCTAGTCCTAGTCAATACATGGTTTTCGATACACACACAAGTGACAATATTACAGATTATTCACTTAACATTAAACATAAACATAATATTATATGTTAATAGTATTAAAAAGAACACCGATTAAGTAATTTTTAAAGGTAGAAAACGAAGAAACGTAATCAAATTTTAAACACAAACTGATTACTGAAGTACTTTATTTCTGTCTTTCTTTAGCCCCAAAATGTTAAAATAGGAAGGGAATTGGACAGGGTATTTTCAAAGTAAATTCATCATAAAGAAATACATCTTACGCTTCTCTTACCATTTCAAAAAAAGCGGTTGTCATCAAGAAATGCAAGTAATGCTCAAATTGGCTCTTTGTTCTATTACGAGATATCCTCTAGTCTAATTTCTTCGGTTATGTAATTAGCAGTAAGCTTTCTTGATTAAATTGTGAAGTATTAAATTACATTGTTCGGTTACCCCCTCTACAATCTTTAATCCCTTATGAAATAATTAAAAACGTAAGAATACTGTCAGACCATGAAGGTCTGGCGATGATGTCCGGGCCTGACTTATGCCAGGATCGATTCCACACATCATCAAAGCCGAAGTCCAATAAAGATGTTACAAACATTCTTTGTGAAATGTCATCGGGACAGATATCATAATACATGTACATATATATATATAGGCAAATAATTCCACTTTAGTGGAAAATTCTTTTTATGACTCTTCGTGGAGTGTGGACCTCCGTGACTGCTCCTATTGGTTAAATGGATAGAAGTATGGGCAATGCCCATGAAGAGTTTTTCATTCGGTAATATACATTTTATATAATCTTAATATTGTTGGCTTTTGTTATATTAGTATTAATTGTAATAAGTTATTTCCTNAATATTGTTGGCTTTTGTTATATTAGTATTAATTGTAATAAGTTATTTCCTCCCTTTGAATAACAGCAAAAAGATTAATCTATATAATAAATTAATCCACTCCATAATCAGTTATTAGTATGTATCTAGCTAATATCTTATTGCGTGTGTTATGGTCGTCCATACTGGAACATATGTCTATACATATATAGTATAGATATATGTGGTCGATAGAGGTCTGATCTACCCACATAACCCGATAAATACTGAAGTAGGTATTAATAAGAGGGCACTGTTAAATCAAATGAAGAATTTAGTCATTTGAAAATAGATCCAAATGAATTCCATGTATTTTTTGACAACATAATGTACAAATTGGCTTAAAACCAAGATAGAGTAACAATTTATACGTAAAATATATATAGAGCTATAAAAAAGCTTGAAAATACGTCTATGGCAAGATTCAAAAAATTGATTGAATTTTTTTTATCTTGAAATAAACGCTCTGATAAAGACCCCGAATTCCAAATTGACGTGTAATATAATCTGGCCTCATACCTGTCCTAAAAGGGTAATTGCAACCTAGTTAGGCGCCAGACTATGATCCTGAATCTATTCCAATGTATAACT